GAGAATTGAAACTCGGGCTCGAAGGGCTTGAGCTTCTTCTGTTCCTTTGTACTTTCTTCTTGGAACTCGATGAGATCTGGGCGTAGCTCGTAGAAAGGCTTGCCTCCCTTGCTAATAAGGGCAGCTTCTAAGGTCTCGAAATCAGAGAGAAGGGCTTGGACAGCTAGATCCTTCTCCGCTTGACCTTTCTCTTCCAGACCCTGGCTGTTGGAATTGCGGCCCCAACATTTCTGTGCCCGATTCTGCTTTTTGGCGTCCCACACAAGATTTTTTGTCGACCACCATTGATATGTATTCTCAGTGAGATCAGAGAAATAGTCTTTTTCGAAGCTGTATGTCTGCCAGCAACGTTGTTCTGAGTCATCTTCTGGATAGGCACGAAGCGCCTTGAGCTTATTTCGAACGCAGTCCAGCAAAGACATGCCATCACCATTGATTCCCAGCTGGTAATCTTCATCCTGAGCCCTATAGGCATCGGGTGTCAGTGTATTGGCGTCAGCTCCAAGTTCCAAGAGCTCGAGCGCAAGCAATGGTAGATCGTGTTGGATCGCTAACATGACAGGCTGTGTCAGTCGGTGCCGGAAGATTTCCTTCAGCCGATCATTTGATTTGTCTCGAAGCTGCTCGTAAGCCCCTTGACCAGGCTTGACGAACTGTTCGAATTGTATTGATGGGCTTGCCCCGGCTTGCAACAATTTATGTGCCCCTTCACAATTCCTTGACGAGATTGACGCAATGAGTGGCGTAAAAATTTTGGGATACCAAGAAGAACCTCTGCAAGTGAAGTAATTAATTGCTTTCTTCGTTGCGGGCGCGCTGTAGCTCATAAAGACGTCCAGAAGGTTGTTGTACCAAGAGGCAACGACGTAAGTCAACGGGGTGGTATTGTCCATATCAGCTTGTGTTGGCGATGCGCCCAGCTTCAGAAGAGCTTCGGTCATTGTAGCTGCCTCAGTGGGAAGTAGGTTGAGTGTAAGTACCAGGTTCAAGATAGCGGCCTTGGGACTGTTGTCGTAATCATGCACCAGCTTCACCGGCAAAAGCACGTCTGCTCCGAATGATGACACGAGCTCGTGGGCCACATCAGCATTGCCGTTGAGAATGGCTAGATGAAGTGCAGTTGTACGACTATCCCAGGACGCGGCATTTATGTCATAAACATCAGGTTCATCTTCCGCGTCGTCAATCGGGAGCGGATCATCGATGTCCGTATCAAGATTCTTGTCGACCTTCACGAATGACCCGGTAGTGAAAGACTGTGCCTCCTCAGCAGAACTAGGGTCATTCCCCTCATTTGCCGACACCTTGAGGTTTTCTGCTTCGCCTTCGTTTTGCTCACTCTTCATGAGTAAGATACGGACCATATCCACCGACCCTCGTGCAGCGGCGAGGTGCAGGGCAGATCGGCCATCCGCCAGGTGAGACACCAGCCTTGCGCCATGATCGACAAGGCATTGTACAATTGCTGGGGTTGAGGACATGCAAGCTAGATGTAACGGTGTGCGGCCCGTGCAATCGCGACTGTTCACACTTAGGGCGTCCGTTGAGACACATTCCCGCACCTTTTCAAGGTCACAGTCAACGATCGCCTGGCAAAGTACTTCGGTGTGTCCCAGATAGGCCATATCTGTTTGGGTTGTCAGTAGAAGCCTTGTCATCAAGTGTATTGCGCTTACCAGTCCACTCGGTATCTGTGGTTGGGTTGAAACTTCCGATCTCTTGGCGACCAGGATCATCCTTGATGAAGGAAATCTCTCCCGAGACATAAATCTTGCTTTCCTTTTCCGCAATCTCACAATCCTCGGGCGACATTGGTTTGGGACAACAACCACAACAATCCTGGACAACATCCTCCACATTCCCAAAGAAAGCAGGATGCCTGTGAAGGTCAACCTGTCTTTCTTTTTTCTTGTTCCATTCCGCGTTGAGTAACAGGTCTTTTGCGTAAATAAGTCGCTCGATTCTCCTAGCGTTGTATCTCGGCCCATATGGAATTCTCTAAGGCTAGAGTATTAGCAGGTCAGCGCGTTGTAGAACAGACAAGAAGACGTACGAATGTCTCATATGAAGAGATATGGTCTTCGTTCTCCCACTCCGCAATTTCGTCATCCCAGTCGCTCTTGAGATCACCACGCACGCCCCTCCGCCATGACCTGCTTTTGGGTGCCGGCCGACCACGTTCCTCTCGTCTTTGTTCAATGTAAAAGTCTCGGTCGGATTGCTTAGGTAGTCTCTCTAAAACCAACAAGCGGGCCAAACCAACTACCCTCGTGAAACTTCGCTCGAATATCGTCTGTCCAAGGTTTTTAGTCCAGAGATCAGAAGTATGTCTTGCAAGTGCCTGCTTACTGGATCGACTTGTGATCTGTCAAGCCCTGGCCAGAAGATTTCGAATCCACGATGAGAGTATTTAGAAAGGCGATTTTCATAAGATGGGGAGCGTCTTGTCAGATCAATGGTGTTAATCTGTGTAATATATGACGCCAAAGCACGAGGCGAGACATAGACTTGCTTTCCGTCGAAGGCGGCGCAAGAACAGTCCACATCGAATCCAGTCAAAATCTCCGCTACTGATTTGTAGATGCGCAGGACAATTTGAATGTGGCGGGTTGGATGCTGGGAGACAATTGTGATTGTGTTCTTGGTTCGGACCGTCGTCGTCTCGTAGAGGATGGTGTTCTTGATCCGGTCTTCGATCTGCTTGATCTTCTCCAGGGCCTGCTGCTCACCCAGCCCATATAAGAAGAGATCAACATCGGACGCGGGCGCTATCTTCTCGTGGTAGTATTGGCGCAGCGAACGCTTCGAGTCATTGTATTTCTCTGGCACTGGAAGTAAGCAAGTCACAACAGCACTTCCTGCGACCACCACATTCGACCAGTCAAAATCACTCAATGCGCCTTCAGAAAAGATAGTGAAGTTTCGTTGGAAGTCTTCCAGCTTCGGGACCACCGCTGGAGAACCACTGGGTCGACGGTCTTCGCCATTCAATGGTAGAATATACTTCTCTTTCTCATGCGGGGTTTCTGACTCTAGCTGGCGTGCCCGCATGTGGATATTGGCCGTGCCATTCTCATTGTACAGTGGAACGACATTCAAATGAGGATCTTCTAGGAGGGGATGAGATGGCTCCTGGGCAAACAGCTTGCGTACGACCGCATCGTATTGATTGTACGGTTGCACAAGATCATGGACTGAGGCGAGGGACTGGCTTTCGATCCAGCTGGGGAGATTCCGGTGGTTCGCCGGTAGAGATGGGAGTGTAAGCATATTCGCCATGTTTGGGGCGAACGAAGGAGAGAGGTGACGATGCGAAAGGAGTCGAGTAAGTTTTCAAGGGGAGCGAGTTGAAGATTTAAGAATCAAGGGACGGAGGCCTCTCGACCGAGCGAGCTGAAAGGAAGATGTGATTGTCAACGATCCACATCGAGGTGGAGGTGTCTTGCCGTGTTATAACTTAAAGTCCAGAAGATCCATCATTGATCGGACTGAGCACTTTCCCAAAGCGGGCTAGTATAAACTTCACCTCCGGTGCCTGTAGGCAGAAATACTCACCGCTCTGGCACAATATTTAGGCACCGATACTGGTTAGGCTTAGTCTAGGCTGACATTTCATAGATGCCTGAAGCCTTAGGCACAAGTGTAGCCTAATATGGCTTAGAGGCGCAAACTTCACGCTGAGTGGACCATGACGTCATATTTCCCTTCACGCTTCGATACAAGCTGATCGATTGAACTGGATCCGGTGTTACGACTCAGATCTCCCCGTCCGGATCTCATTAACGGATATTGCGGAGCGATCTGCATGGATATCTGCGCCACCTGGGGGCTACGTATGCACCGTACCCAGTACGTACTGTAAAGTACTACAAATTACAGGGAAGCTGTAGTTACTCCACCGTTTCCAAGCCACCGGGCGTAAAGTAGCGAATGTCAGATCTTAGCTTGTGACTACTAGTTACAGGGTTCTCAACAGTCATCTCATTTGGTAAGTATTTTATTCAGGTATGCTTTGTGGATATATCACGCCAAGGCCTAAGGTGTCCTCGTGTTTGCTGAATCTGGTCTCGGCCTGCTTGAATATGTGTCAGAACACACACCGTCTAACCTATGCATAATCATTTCCTATGAACTAATATGTATTTATTTGCTTTCAATACAAGCGTGGCTCAGGGAACTGATAGACATACTACAGCTTGGCGACAATCAATTGGTATACCTGCTGCTGCTGCTGCTAGTTTGCAAAGATATATGCTATTTTACAGGTCTCGCAATCCAATCTGCACCGAATTAGACTCACAGCGAGCCTGAACTGGGCTTCGTGTACAAGGTATTATAAATCGTTGCCGGCAAGACTCGCCACGAGTTTATGAATAGTCTCACTGCTTCTTTTAGGGAACATTTAAGAAGGTATCATTACTGATAGTTTACGATGCGAAAAGCGCCGAAGTGATCATGGTGACTACTGTCTGATCGTAGACTATCATCGCGGGGTGTATTTTAATTCTTTAGATGGAATTCCTCCGAACTGGAACCCCTGTATAGTTTCCAAGTTCCCCAGATACTGAAACTGTTACGCTTCCATTGGCAAGGCGTTCATCATGCTGTAAGCACTAGGTCTGTTCGACTCAACTTACTACCTAAAGAGCCAAGAAGTAACCTCGGGTAAATCAACTTCTGCTGCAGGTTAAGTCAATGCTTCCTTGCCTGCCCACCACACCTCTGTTGTTCGTTTCTTTTCTCCTTTGTTTCTTTTCTTCTTGCACCAACAGAGACGTGTTTATGGTCTGCATCTCTACACTTGATAGATATTGCTAGGTGCAGAGAAAACGAATAGACCATGGCAAAGGATTTCCAATTCCATCCTCTACAGCCGATCGGCGAAAACATCCACTTTTTCCAACCTCCCGAGCCAGCGAGCAGTGGCCCCGCCCTGATCACCCTCTGTACTTGGCTGGGAGGCGCCACGCCCCCGCGGATCCAGAAATACATCTCAGGATATCAGAGCTTGTATCCAGATGGAGGATCCGAGAGGTCACCCACCACTCGAATTGGGGAGATATCTGGGCGGGATCATCTTCGATTGCTGTTCGGGTGATACTTCCTTCGGGCGCGTGTACCAGGCCGCAGTGCACTCTTTACCGCCGTCCTCAGTGCTGGCGCAAGCGGTCGGCACAGTACTGCTTTATCCGGTGATTGGCGTCATCACTGGACTCCAGCAGACAGGATGGATGAGCTCGATTCGGGGCCTGCGACGGCAATTGAATGACCCAGCGGTGTTTGGGAAGACGGCTCCCAGGCTATATTTGAATTCAACAGCGGATCAAATGGTTCGATGGGAGAAGGTGGAGTCGCACCAGAGAGAGGCGGCTGCCGACTTGGGGAAGTGTTGTGCAGTGAAACGGATCGCTTTTCCAGATAGCCCGCACTGCGCCTTGGTGAGGGATCATTCTGATAGTTATTGGGCTGAAGTTAAAATGTTTTGGCAGAGGCGAGGGACGACAGGAGGTCTTGTGGTGCCCGCGGACTTGCCTTTAACTCATGAGCCTCGGAGTCGACTTTGATACTGTTGACGGTCAGAAACCGGACCGTGGAATCGGACTGGTCGTGATTCTCAGTTGCGCGAAGGGAGCTGCAAGCTATGCCGGAAGCAGCATGTCCCCAAAATCAAATTGAAGTCATAGGCCATTCAATGGCTGGTCATCTGGGGGACTCGTTCGCTGAGGGAGTTGGTCAATGAGAAGAATGTGCGGCTCAGCCTTGGGGTGGGGCTGTCGGAGGAAGGCCTTGGAGTCCGCGCCGTCTCCTACTGTCCGACCATGCACCCTCCGCACAGCCGCCTTTTTCCACCGCGTTTTTCCACACCAAAGTGTAAGTATGCCAAGCATATCCTGAAGTTACTTGAGTACAATCATGATTCAGTGTGGTAATTACCAGCGAAGCCCACTAGGTATAGATATCTGTGTCGCTCCGAATCATATAGATCTTGAAAAAGTAGACGAATCATCCTAACTTTAGTACGCTTAAAGCTAGCTAAAATGGCTACTGTATAAATATCGGAGCTAATGTTAACTGAATGGTAAACAGTCGTGGATAATCGTTGGGACAACGCAGCTCGACCTGTCCAGCCTCAGATATACTATATCTATGACGGTTTCGTCAAGAACGCTAACTACAAGTCTACTTGCTGTTCACATATGCTGAGAGCTACAACCAGCTGAGCGATTCTTATCGATCAGCCTTGACTTTATGATCATGGATCTGGAGTACGGGGCCCGCCAGCGGTGGCCGGCCTTGCGAGGCCCGCATTTCCCGCCCCATCGGTTCTAACGGAAAGCCGAGAGCCGAGCCTCCTGGTCTCCCCGACCGCTTGTGACTTAACCCTTCCCAGTCAGGTGATGGGTCAGCCTTGCTGTTTTCGCCAAGCAATGCGCACTGGTATAAAGAGTCAGCGACTTTCCACTTTGTATCAACACTATATTCGAACAGACAAGAAAAGCAGAAAATGCACGAAACTGAAGTCCTCATCGTCGGCGCAGGCCCCACCGGCCTGGTCACGGCACTTTGGCTTTCGCGCCAGGGCATCAAGGTCCGCATCACCGACCGAGCGGAACGCACCGCCACAACCTCCCGCGCGCTGGCAGTCCATGCTCGGACTCTCGAACTGTATCGACAATTGGACCTCGGAGATCGGCTGGTGGCCCTGGGCCATCCGTTGGGGGCAACGAACATCTGGACACAGGGAGTGCATCGGTTTCGCATCCCCTTCGGTCACTTCGGAATGGGCCTGACGCCGTATCCGTATATCTTGATTGTTCCTCAGGATGTGCAAGAGAGATTGCTGGAAGAGCGGTTGAAAGACTTCGGGGTGGAGGTGGAACGGAACATGGAGTTGGTGGATTTCGCGGAGAACGATGGCGGAGTGGTGGCGCGGTTCAGGGACCCGAGAACACGGAATCCCTCGCTGGTGGAGTTGAGCGGAGTAGCAGATGACCTCCAGCCGTGTGAAGCCGCATACATTGTCGGGTGCGACGGCGCCCATTCCGCGGTCAGGCACACGGCAGGGATCAAGTTCACCGGCGAGACGTACGGTCAAATATTCTTTGTCGCCGATATCGAGGGCCAAGGGCCTGCCATCAACGGCGAAGGACACCTCCAACTCGACGGCGATGTCACATTCCTCACTCTTGCCTACGACTCTAAGAGACATGCGCGACTGATAGGCAACGTGGATGGGAAGCAGCTGGCTGACATTCAAGCGAAGGAGGATATTTCGAAGGTCAATTTCGAGGACCTGGCCCTCGCCACACCAGCTATGCGCCAGATGATGCAAATCGACAAGGTGAACTGGTTCACGGCGTATCGAGTTCATCACCGCGTGGCCGACAAGTTCCGGAGCGGTCGCGCGTTTCTCGTTGGGGACGCTGCCCATATCCACAGTCCAGTCGGAGGACAGGGGATGAACACAGGCATCGGCGATGCGATCAATCTCGCTTGGAAGTTGGCTACTGTATTACAGCGAAAGGCGGATGCATCACTCCTAGATACCTACGAGTCGGAGCGACGAGCCTTTGCGCTGACTCTCGTCGAGACGACCGATTCGGCCTTCAACAAATTGGCTGCCAGAGGTTGGCTGGCCAATTTCATGCGCAGTTATCTCATTCCGTTTGTCGTGAAGCTTGCAGTCAAATTTGGCTTCGTTCGTCGACGGATATTCTTTGGCTTGTCACAGCTCAAGATACAGTACCAACACAGCCTGCTATCTGCCGGGTCTGCCGGCACTATCAAGGGTGGAGATCGGCTACCATGGGTGTCAGTAGGTGAGGGCGACAACTACGAATCTCTCAAGCAAATCACCTGGCAGGTCCATGTGTACGGCGACTCTTCGCCTGAGCTGGTGAAATGGTGCCAGCTGAGAAACATTCCGTTGCATTGCTTTAGCTGGACCTCTCAGTATGGTCAAGCAGGATTAGCACGGAATGCGGCATATCTGATCCGCCCCGACACATATGTGGCAGTGGCTGAGGCCTCAGGTAAACCCGAGCGATTTGATTCTTTTTTCCGCTATACCCAGCTCAATGTTTCCTAGTAATCTTTTATCCCGCCTTCTAATGTCTAATGTCCAAGCATCTCAACTCTACTAAGACTAGAATACATACCAACCTCCTTGCCAACCAGTTAGATTTGATAGAAGCCCAGTTCACCACATCTTGCAAGGCGTGAGTAATGTAATTCTGCGTAAAGGAGCCCAGTAAAGCCAGCTTCTGAGCGTCATGTTTGAGTGGGCAACCATCAAAGCCACGATTCAGTGCGCTGCGCTGTGGTAGTACTCCGACCCCGAAGCATAGGAAAGAGCGTCTCTCAGAGGCACTGGCTCAAAGACCGACCGTATATGTTTACATGCTACATAACGTCAATGTGTCTGCATGAAGCGATGTAATGGCTTCCAGCAAGTTTGGTATGATGCTACCCATCTTTCATGGATCCTGTCTATATTACTCGGATTCAAGGTTAGACGCGAAAGGTGGCGATGGGGCCGAGATCCGTCGTTCGGATGGAATACACCTGCCTTGAGTTGGCTAGTCCGCCCATCGTATGACAAAGCAATACGGATGAGAAGGCAAACAAGAAGATTTGATCCCTTTCTGACGAGATCCCGGTTAGCGGAGACTACTAGGTACTAGGTAGTGCTTCAAACTTTATTTCATTCGCAGAAAAGCATACAAGAATTCTGCCAAGATATTCTTGCTGGTAGGATGTGGTGCCGCAGGAGCGATTCGGTTGCTCCACATATACACTTCAAAGAGCGAGGGCATGATGCTCCCAGCCCATGGCGGTTTTAGCTGTCAGATATCGAAATAATTCTTAATTATGTGCTAAAATCGAATGTCTGCGCTGCAGTTGAGCGAGTTCATATCCAGTTTGTCAAGTGTTGGCCTTGCAAACCTGTACCCTGTAGCCAAGATCGCGGCGCCGCGCAACGTGCATAGCGCAATCATCTCAAGTCAACCTTAAATATGAACTCATAGATTGAGTGAAAGGAATGAGCATGGCCACGTGTACTTAGCACCTTCAAAGGTATAAAGAAAGCGCAGGCGTGGTAGACCCCGGCCTAAATCTGGTAAGCGAGATCTGAGTGTAATGTAACGGGTACGTACCAGAGAACAATAGAACCGATTGAGAAACAATACACCTCGTCTATTGTGTGCACCAGCGTGCCTATTATTCTCCCACCCCACAGCTTTTCCCTAGCCAAGGCGCTGAAATCTAATTGCTCTTGGGGAAACTTAATGGGAACACATGAAATAGAGAAAGGAACTCACCATCTAGCGCTCGTCCCCCTACACAGAACACAGGAGATTCAATTTCAACAACAGGAACTACATCAGTCACGCAAGGATGACCGAAACCGTAGCACGCAGAGCTCACAAGCTTCCTATCCGCCAGCAGGGATGTTACAAGCCGTCAATCCCCCAGAAAGCAAAGCCCGTGGTGGTGGACAAAGAAATCACCCCTGTCGAGGCTGCGACAACACGACCGAGATTTAGCATCGAGGACCATCCCGGTGACCAGCCACGTGGGATTCGCGTGGGAATTGTCGGGGCGGGACTGTCGGGGATTACAGCAGGGATCTTACTCCCTGCCAAAGTGCCAGGGATCGATCTGACCATCCTGGAGAAAAATGCAGATGTCGTAAGCTGCCCCTTTACCATTTTTTTCGTTGGAGCTGTATGCAGAGCAGTTAATCTTGAGACGGGCTTGTAGGGCGGTGCATGGTACGTTGCAATCACTGGTATTCTTGACACCTCTAACGTGCCTTTCTCACTTCTTTGTTGTACAGGTTTGAGAATACCTACCCTGGTGTGCGGTGTGATGTCCCTGCCCACGTCTACCAGTCCGGCTTCGCGCCGAACACTCAGTGGAAAGAAGAGTTCGCGCAAGGACCAGAGATTCGCGAGTACTGGCAGGACCTTGCCCGTCGGTTCGATGTGTACAAGTACTTGCGTCTGCAGCGCAAAGTCCTCCGAGCGGAATGGCAGCCGGACGAAGCCAAATGGAAAGTCACCATCCAGGATCTTCGAGATGACAAGGTGACGACGCGTACCTTATCCCATAATCTAATCCAACTCGTGCTAACAAGAGAAAAGCTCTTTGAGGAAACCTTCGACATCTTCATCACCGCAATCGGGTACTTCAACACTTGGCGCATCCCCAACTTCAAAGGCATAGATCAGTTCCAAGGGGCCATAATCCACTCATCCAACTGGGACCACAGCGTCCCGCTCGAAGGTAAAAAAATCGCTCTCATCGGCAACGGTGCATCAGGCATTCAGATCCTACCCGAAATCCAACCCATCGCCGCCAAGATCGATCACTACGCCCGCAGCCGAACCTGGATCGTCCACCCGCCCAACGTCGACGGGGACTGGCAACGGGCGTCTTTCGCAGCAGACAAGCTGAAATCCTTCCGCGACCCGCAGATCTACCTACAGTACCGGAAGGGAAAAGAAGCCGAGTTCTTCCGCGGGTTCGCCACTTGCTTCCTGGATTCGCCTGAGAACGATTTCCTGCGGCAGATGTGGACGGCCTCGATGCTGGCCCGTGTCGAGCACAACGAGACCCTCCTCAGCGACCTGATCCCGGACTTCCCGCCGTGCTGTCGCCGTCCCACCCCAGGTCCGGGTTATCTGGAAGCGCTGATCCAGCCGAACGTGGAGCTCATCCGGTCGGGGATCGAGCGCCTTACGCGGGACGGGATCCAGACGGTAGACGGGGTGGAAAGGCGCGCGGATGTGGTTATTTGCGCGACGGGCGCCAACTCCGATCTCGTGCCACCGTTCCCGGTTGTGGCCTCTGGGGTGGATCTCTGCGAGGCGTGGGCATCCGACGGGATATACGGGTTCCCCTACACGTATCTCGGAACGGCGACGCCCGGGTTCCCCAATGCGCTCTGGCTGGGCGGGGCCCACGTTGTCGGCCCCAGCGGGACGATCCCCAACTGCGTCGAGAACCAGATCACCTACATTGCGAAGATGATTCGCAAAGTGCGGGGCCAGGGAATCCGCACGTTTGTACCGGCCAAGGCCGCGGCAGACGACTTCCTCGAGTATTGCCATGCGTTCTTCCCGCGGACGGTTTGGACAGGCAACGATGACTCGACGCCAGGGAAGGCAAACTGTCGGTCGTGGATGAACGGGGGCCGACCGAATGGGTTTGTGCATGGGCTTTTTCCAGGAAGTGCCAGTCTGGCAAATTTCGTTCGGCGGGACCCGCGGTGGGAGGACTGGGAGTATACGTATACGAACCCAAGCGGGAACAGATTCGCCTACTTGGGAAACGGGTGGACAGCACGAGAGATGCAGCCTGATGCGGACTTGACACCTCATTTACAACAACCGGACCATATTGATTTGAAATCTTATTTGGAAGGATGGTGGGATGTTTAGCGATGGGGTAGACTGCTATCTCCTATATGCGCAACTAGAATGTCATCAACTAGATTATTTGATTTGGATGCGGGTGCGGTCATAGAATGATTTACAACTGCTGTAGCCGATCTACATGCTAACTCGAACCACCAGAGTCGCGAGCAAGTGTAATAACGAGACAGCCGTCACTCGTTGTATTATCTTCAAGAAATTCAATATATGTACAAATGCCATTCTCGAGCCACCTTCCCGAGTAAATCAAGGCTTAGTGGAGGGAAAGTTGCCCGTGCCGAGAATATCCCCATCGTCCTCCGACCCGTTCATCGCGCGATCGATGCGGAACTGAGACGTCTGGAACAGACGAGGCATGCACGTCTCCTCAAAGGGAATCTTCTGCACCACCATCCGGGCCAACTCCTGCGCGGAGCGCCAGATGACCGGCATGCCGTGGCCATTGAACCCGGCCAGGATGAACTGGCCCTCCTTGCCGGGCACCGCACCGATGTGCGGGTTGGAATCGTACGAGTACCCCATGACGCCCGTCCAGACCTGGTCGACCTTCGCCCCGGTGTTCTCCCATCCCCGGTACGTGCGTTGCATGTAGCCGTCGTAGTAGTCCTTGGCGGCGTCGATGAGCTCGCTGTCGTCGACGTTGTTGTACCATTGCTCCTTGAAGGGCCGGAACTTGGACGAGGCCCCGCCGACGACGATGCTCCCGTCGGCGCGGGGGATCAGGTAGGAGAGGGTGTTGTCCTCGGTGCGGTTGATGTAGGAGTTGTTGAGCAGCGGGGCGGTCGTGCCCGCGGGCACGGTGATGCGGCAGCAGATCCCCTTGCACGGGACGATGTTCTTGGCGTATTCGGGCAGCAGGCCCGCGACGTAGGCGTTGTTGGCATGGATGACGGTGGCGGCGTGCAGGCTGCCGCGCGGGGTCTGGACGGTGAAACCGCCGTGGGGTGCGGGGGTGATGGACTGGGCCGGGGTAAACGTCTGCAGGTTCACCTTGCCCGACGCTAGAGCCGATTTGAGGAGGTGGAGGATGAATTTGTATGGCCACATCGTTCCCGCCGTGAACGAGGCGCAGGCTTTGGCGCCCTTGACCCCGCAGATCTGCGCTGGGTGATTAGTACATTTGCGTGAGTTGGGGGAGGGGAGGGGGCATGGGGTATCTTGGGTTGAAAGCACTCACCCCCTCTACATCCTTGCCGGTGTAAAAGACCACGTCATTCATGTAATCCAGGTTCAGCGACCTCATGCGATCATACACCGCTTTGGCCTTCTGCGCCGCCTCCTCGTTACACCAGACGTCGATGGAGCGCGTCAGAGTGAAGTCGCAGTCAATCTGCTCCTCCTCAATCAACTTCTTCATCGCGTGGAGGTGGGAGATCTCGAACTCCGCGATCTCTGCGCCCGCGCGGACGCCCGCCCGGTCGATGTAGGTCGGAATGTGGCCGTAGAAGTCCGGACGGAGGTGTCCTCCATTGCGGCCGGTCGCCCCGGAGCAGGCCCCTCGCGCTTCCAGAATGGTGATTGACTTGATGGCGTCCCCATGGTCGCGAAGCAGGTGGTACGCGGTGCTCGTGCCAGCGTACCCGGCGCCAATGATCACCACCTCTGACTGCTCGGGTAGTTGTTCGGTGGACCGAAAGTTGTGTAATTCATGGGGTTGATTCTGCCAGAAGCACTCTCCTGGATTGGATCCTGGAAAGCAAGTGGAAGTCGGCATGGTTAGGAGGAAGGTCGGGGGTGTAGGTTGATGGGCGTAGAGTTGCGGTGGTGAAGTTTAGTTATCGCGCGCTCCGTGCATCCTTTTTAAGGAGTCGGCGATAACAGCCGAGGCTTATCGTTCTATCGTTTTATCGTTTGTATTGTTTGGTGTGCTTATCGCGTCGATTATCTTATCGGTCAGGCGGTCGGACGGCTGGCACTCACTATCAGTCAGTCGGTCGGTCGGTCGGTCGCTCCTTCACACGCACACACACAGACGGCGGCCCGTCCCGAATAGGTAATTGGAGCCGGACCTAATCATCTGATAAGCGTCTAGCAAACACAAACCACAACAACAGCGGTCACAGACAGTCGATCCTCACCATGCTAACTAGCTTCATCTTCATGGACCACCAACAAGGGAGTTCCGATTTCCAATGCGGGGTATTGGGTATCATTGTGCACAATACAAAATGGCGCCACTCTTGCTCTCTCGTTTCTGTGAATCATGGCCTCGATTTCTCTCACGCAATCTTCTGTCACTATGGATGTTTCCGCCCCCTCGGAGAAAAAGCCGCCTTACCAACAGACCAACGAAAAGCATGACGGGGACCTTGAGGCCGCCGCACCCGGCCACCTCGATGAAGCTCGTGATTTTCATCAGGGGCTGCACCAGCGTCACATTCAGATGATTGCTCTGGCCGGGACGATAGGCACTGGGTTGTTTTTGAGTTCAGGACGGGCAATTGCCCACGCAGGACCGCTGGGAGCTTTTTTGGCATACACGATCATCGGTGGGGCGGTGTTCAGCGTGGTGGCGGCGGTGGGCGAGATGGGTAGTCTCGTTCCGCTCCAGGGTGGAGTCATTCGCTATGCTGAGTTGTTCGTGGACCCAGCCCTCTCCTTCGCCAATGGGTGGAACCAAGTGTATTCCTATCTCGTCTCCATCCCATCCGAGATTGTTGCTGCCGCCGTGGTCATCGAATTTTGGACCACAATCAACAATGCTGTCTGGATCACCGTGTTTGGTCTTCTCATGTTGCTCACGGCCTTGGTGTTTGTGCGCGTCTACGGCGAGCTTGAATTCGGCTTCTCCATCCTCAAGATCATGCTGGTCATTGGAATCAACCTCATGGCCCTGGTGATTACTTGCGGTGGAGGCCCCAATCGAACCAGCATTGGATTTCGCTATTGGCGCGACCCGGGCCCGTTTGTGCAATACCTTGGCATCGGAGGCTCCCTGGGGCGCTTCCTGGGATTCTGGACAGCACTGAACAGTGCTCTGTATTCCTACAGTGGAATCGAAAACATCACCGTCGCAGCCGCGGAAACACGTTCTCCCCGTCATGCCATCCCCATGGCCGCTCGTCGCATCTTTGTCCGGATCCTACTCTTCTACGTCTTGACCATCTTCATGATCGGGCTAGTCGTCCCTTCCGACGACCCCAACCTTCTGGGGTCCTCGGGAACCGCGTCTGAGTCCCCGTTCGTTATCGCAGCTCGGAACGCCGGAATCAAAGTCGTCCCATCCATTATCAATGCTGTGGTACTCACCTCCGCCTGGTCCGCCGGCAACTCGAACATGCTGGGCGGTTCGCGCATCATGTATGCGATGGCGGCCGAAGGCCACGCACCCCAGTGCTTCAAGCGTATCAACCGCTTCGGTATTCCGTATGTGGCCGTGACAATCCTGGGGGTTTTCATGGCGTTGGGCTACATGACGCTGTCGAGTTCGGCCAGTACCGTCTTCACCTGGTTGCAGGACATCGTCTCGATTTCCACCCTGGTCAATTGGGGATGCATCTGCATTGTCTACCTGCGCTTTCTCTACGCATGCAAAAGACAGGGCATTGATCGGCACAAGGAGCTGCCCTGGGCTGCTCCTTTTCAGCCATGGGGTACCTGGTTTGCGCTGGGGCTTTTCAGCCTTCTGTTCTTGACTGGTGGGTATCAGACTTTCATCCACGGCCAGTGGTCCACGGAGACATTCATTTCTTCATACTTGAATGTCCCCATCATTTTTGCCTTGTATTTCGGCTATAAATTTTGGGCCAAGAGCAAGATCATTGGGTTGGAGGATGTGCCAATTCGGCCGTTCATCGAGCGTTACCAAGCCAACCCCGATCCTGAGCCGGAACCGAAGCGCGGGCTTAGACGGTTGAACTTTCTGTGGGGATGATGCCACTTGGTGGGTGTGATTTGATCGAGTATAGTGTGTCTGTATTCTAGCGACTTATCTTGCGTGTTAATTTGCATAGCTAATGTCATAATCAATCTGTCTTATCTGCTTTCATCTTTGAGACGACTGAGACGACTGGACCTGCCGTGTCTTACCACTGTATAATTTACTTCCAGTTTCTCCTCTTAGTTGCCCAAAAGGGTAATACTGAAGTAGCAGCATTCCGGGCAGTGTTATCTAGCACTGAATGTGTCAAGCATAGAGAGCAAGATAAGCCATCAATTACCCCTGAGCTTATCGAGATTATCGAGCGCTCCGCATATCCACCCCATGTCTCATATCACGGGTCAATATATGAGGCGTGGGGGCCATGTCGACTAACGCTCCCTAAGCAAACTAGCTGCATGGCGATAGATTGCCCGGCCGTGTGTCCGCCGCGACCAAGATTTCCCCGCACGGCCGTGGGCCCGGTATCGGCTGGCGATAAGACCGAAAAGCAACTCCGACCTCATCTCTACCCCTCCTGATGTTCTTCTCCTTACAGCATCATCATCACCACCAACCAGCCTCAACTCCATTCCTCTCCAGCCCAGCCCAACCCAACTCAACTCAACACACAACACCACACCCGCCCGCACGCAAAAAAATGACCAGCAAGAACGTCGTCTTCGACGTAGTCGGGACCTGCGTCTCCTTCAGCGCCTTCTACGAGACGATCCAGCAAACCCTGGGCCCGCAACTGGCGGCGCACAAGCTCACGGCCCAGACCCTGGGCTTCACGTGGATGACCAACGCGGAGCTGCAGTTCACCTTCCTGTCCATCTCCGAGAGCTACAAGCCCTACAAGCAGGTGCTGACGGAGCTCTTCTACCAGACGCTGTTCATGATCGGCGTCGCCAACCCGACGGCCTTCGCGACCCCGGCGCAGCGCGACACCTGCGTTGAGGGCTACAGCGCGCTGGCCCTGCGGCCCGGCCTCGCCGAGTGCTTCGCCACCCTCCGCGCCGCCGGGTTCACGGTCTGGTGCCTCACGACAGGGGACACGCAGCGCGTGCGCGGGTACTTCCTGCGGGGCGGCGTCGACATGCCCGCCGAGAATTTCTTGAGCTGCGATACGGCGGGCGTGGCCAAGCCGGCGCTCCCGGCGTATCGGCCCGCGCTGGAGGCCTTGGGGTACACTGGCGGAGAGGAAGAGAAGCCGTGGTTCGCGGCGGCGCATCTGTGGGACGTGGCGGCGGCGACCAAGGCTGGGTTCCGCGGCGCGTACTGTACGGTCTACGAGGGGGAGCCGTGTTATCGGGTCTTTGAGGCCGCGTTGGATGTTACGGCGGATGATTTGGTCGGGATGGCGGAGGGGATTGTGCGGGCGACGGAGGGGAGGGTTGAGTAAGGGGTTTTGGTTGGTAGCAGGAGAGGAGGTTTGGGTGTAGGGGGTCATAGATTATAGAGTTCATTAATTTCTGTTGTTTTTGTGTCTGTTTATGGACGATCATGACGAGTATGAGGATATTAACTGTTGAATTAAGCGTCTACTGGTTTGTTACGACGTGAGAGTGCTCGATCGAAGCAGCGGATTGCCGACACTGTTGCCCGCCCCTGGCGGTGTGGTGGCCGTGAGATCTGTGGCTGATGGCATTCACGTGACTAGTACAGGATGACATAATCCAGGGGTCTGACAATTTTCGACCGTGTAATTGGCGTTTCATGCTTCAGCGTCAGGCTCCAGTGCGAATGCTGGTGCATGGCAAGCAGCTTAACATTTTCTGTCAATCCGTTCACCGCGGCTCCTATGCCTGCGGACAGATTCACAACCGCAGTCTTCACAATTAAGCATCCTAGATCATGGATGAAGACGCCACGCTCACCCACCGCATGGTGAGTGTGGGCTACGATGGCAGAGACCAGAAAGCACACGTGACCACTGCCTGCAAGGGTCGCCGATGCGTCGTGCGGATCTCCGAGGACTACTTCTACAAATCGCCGATCACGCTGGAGACGTACACGGAGGTAACGCGGACGATGTTCGATGCAGACGAGGACCGCGCCACATGTGACCACGCGGCGGACCAGCTGTACCGGTGGGCGCTGCGGCCCTTCGAGGGCTGGATGCAGCGGCTGGAGCTGCCCACCTACGAGGGCCCGTTCCCGACGCTGGCGCACTACCTGGACCCGCCGGAGCACAGGTGGAAGCTGTACGTGGTCGAGGAGGTACCCGAGCCGTTCCTGGACTACGACGTGCCGCCACGGCGGGATCAGCAGCTGGGCGTGTGGCTGCCGCGCTACGAGCTGCACCCGGACTGGTTGCTGTTCAAGCCGGAAGATATTCTCGCTTCTCCGGCGGACGATGACGAGGAAGAGCTTGAAAAGCCCCCTACGATGGTCTGGCCGCGCAGCAGCACCATGGCTGGCGACATGCCCATGTGCTACTTCAAGCCCTTGCAGTGCTGGCGGTGGCAGCACGCTGTGCGCGAGATGGAAACGTATAAGGCCTTGCACGAGGTCGAGGACTTCGACGATCTGCGCGTGCCGCGGGTTTGTGGCCTTGTGACCGGGGATAGAAAGGGCTCGTACCTCGGGCTGCTGATCTCGTATGTGGAGAACGCGGGGACGTTGGAGTCGCTCGTCGGCCCGGAGATGCCGCTGGAATATCGGCGTGATTTCTTGGTCCAGCTGACAGAGACGCTGGATCTTCTGCACGAGCTGGGGTTGACATGGGGTGATGCGCGGCCGTCAAATGTATTGATTGATCCTAACGATGGCGCGTGGGTTGTGGACTTTGGCGGCGCGCAGGATGAACCGCATATTGGCGATTGGGTCAGCAAAAGACATCTTCATACGCAGCTAGGGGACCGTGAAGGCTTGTACAATATTACGCGCATGTTGATGGACGGCATAGTAGATATGCCGTCCTTGCCGTTAGATGATGGTACAAGCACCGAAGAAGAAGAAGAAGACGAAGATGACGAAGATGACGAAGATGACGAAGATGACGAAGAAGACGAAGAGGACGAAGATGACGAAGATGACGAAGATGACGAAGATGACGAAGATGACGAAGAGGACGAAGATGACGATGATGATGGTGATGATGATGAAGAAGAAGAAGAAGAGGAGGAGGAGGAAGAAACAGAAGAAGTAGAAGACCATGACCATGAGGAAGGACAGAAAGAACTGGCAGGAATGATGAATTTCGGAAACTCAGAACAATTGGATGGATCATTTGATATCGGTGAATAGGGAGACGACAACTTATTTTGGAGAGCATGTGACCATCTCCCGGGTGTTGAATGACACTCTGTCCCGAAAACATCTTCTCCATCCTCTTCTACTTCCATCTCCTGTCAACATGTACATACTATTTCACATTTACAACTAGATACCCCTCAAGCCAGTCCACATGCGATGTCGCATCATTTCTCAGGAGCAGCATCTCGAAGTACAGTATCCTCAGCTGCAAGACCACACCACCCCCAGCAAGTATCCCACAACTTTGTTTGTACGTCTGGATTTATACTAACAGCCGCAGGGATGTCTTCTTTTTGACCCATATAGTAACCCCTCTTTCCCTGGAAAGACGAATCAACACTCAAAGCAACTAGATCACGTCCCGCATCCTCCGTGGTCCGAAACATCGTGGTGGCGTGTTTTAGGACAGGCATGAGGAAGTTGATCACCGCGAAGATCCTTTGAGTGGACCTTTTCTGCTGAGCCTGCGATCTCGCACTGGGTAGACCACCCGTATCCATCGCGATCGCCGTGATGCTTGATAACCTATCATCCTGTCAAACGTCAGCCGACGCTTCTAGTGCACCTCCGGCGACAGTAAACATACCCTCTTCAATCTTCGATTGAGATCGTTCGCCAACGTGACATTAGCCAGCTTGGCCGTGGCATATCGCTGGAAGCCCCTATCGTGCGCAAGGGCAGGGGGGTCCGGCCCTGGTCTGAGCAACTCCTCCATATCAGCCGGAAATTGTGGTCGAAGCGAACACAATGGATTTGATTTCTCTGGGTAGTGCGTGATGGAGCCCAGCATGACAATGCGGCCGGAGGTGAGGTTCATGCTCCCGAGAAGCTTCAAGATCAGCAAATAGTGCGCGAGGTGGCACACCTGGAAGGTGGCTTCATAGCCATCGGCGGTGAATTTCTGCCCTCCTTCGAAGGAAAGCGAGGCCGCGTTGCACACGACGGCCGAGATGCGAGGAAGTGCTCCAGAGGAAATCAGACGAGAGAGCTTGTCTGCGAAGGAGCGCACGTTGGCCAGCTTGCCGAGGTCGAGGGTCTCGAGGTGGAATTTCGCTTTCGGAAATCTTGCAGCGAGTGCTAGAAGTTTCTCGGTATTGGGATCTTGTTCTGGAGATGGGTTGCGGACAGTCGCAACCAATGTTTTTTGGGGGTGAGTTTCCAAGAGGGCTTGGACAAAGCCCAGGGCTAGAGAGCCGTTGGCGCCGGTGAGGACCACTGTTCCTTCCATCGCTACAGTTTCGAGATGACTGACAAAGAGGTTAAGATCTCATTCCAAGATAACCATGGCATAACTGATTCCTTTTATACCTCTCGATTTTAGATTTCCCACCCGCTGTGCACTCTCCAGAGTTGGCACCACATTACCCTATGGTACCTGGTAGTCTACATGTAGTAAGCGCCTGTCTTGGCCACGAGATCACGGTAGTTGCAGGGCATCAGTCAGACTGACCCATGCATTGAGGCTATGTAAAACTTTTGAAAGTACGAGAAGGACATCCACGAAGGAAGCCAGCTACCAATTTGTCTATCCGAGCGTGTACATGGTAGAGCGCTATGCTATTTCAAGCAGGCGCAGGTCTTGGCCCGGGCATGGACCAAGATGCTTTGTCAGCCATCCCATGGCCTCCTGCTTCAACTTCAGGGAACCACCGAACTTTTTATCCTTCCCTGGGTTGAAGTGAGAAAAAATTGTCCTTATCCAGATGGCGCACCGGGAAGTATCATTTATCATCAGTACGTCCCAGCCGACAAAGGCGACCGAGTCGCAGCGGAGAATCGCCCTGTCGCACGCCGCTCGCTCAGCGCATGCCAAGGCCAGGCGCCTGCGGACGCTTCAATACCAGGCACAAAAGAGACATGAACGCCATGCAAGGCTCTCACAAGAAACTCCAGACCTTCCCATTACTGGACTGGACATGTTCCTTCCAGCAGACAGAACAGACCCCTTCATGAGTTTCGCAAGGACCTTATCCCCTACCGAACAATTCCTTTTCGATCACTGTATGTGTCCATTTGCAGAGTCCTATACTTTCTTCTTGCTGACCCTGAATGTGTGCGACTCACAGACGTCACAGTGATCATACCTCTAATGCGCTGCAACGAGACGCAGGTGCTCTTCTCGCAGCGCATGAATAGTATCTGGGTCCCTATCGCGATCACCGAATCCAGCCTTCTCGACATTGTGCTTCTCACCTCGAGTCGACATTTGTCGTGTTGCTACACGCAGGAGCAGCAGGCGAAGCAACGCTTCTTCATGCAAGTGACACTCCAGTACAAGTCGCAAAGTCTACGGTCACTGAGACGCGCTATTTCGGCCGAGGTGCCGGCTTTGGATGATGCGACGGTCGCAAAGGCAATCATGCTCGCTTATGATGAGGCACGTTCCGCTCTTGACTAGCGCCGAGCACCCAGCTAATAGTCAGTAGTTATATATTCGCAATACGGTCATGCTGAAGCATCATATTGACGGGGCTGTCAAGATGGTCGCTCTGAAAGGCGGGCCCCAGACCTTGGGCTTAGAGGGACTTCTCGAACACTTCCTTTCCAACCTCATTACCAAGATGAGAGGTGACCTAGGGGTTCATGTCACGACTCCCTGGGATGTGTGCTGAACTTTGCCTTGTTTGGGGATGTTTGACGCGCCGCGGCCGATCCACTGAAGTGAGCTACGTTATCGACGAATGTCTCGATGGAACAAACCTTCTCGGTACCAGCGATCTCGAATGCCCGTTTTTCCCGCAAATCACCTGTCACTTTCATGGATTCTCCCAAATCGTGCTCGAGCCTCCGGCAGTGGTCACCACCTCCTCCATCGCGTAGGACGGGTGACCGCCCCGATTCTGCCAGACAGTTTTGAAAGGAGCAGGCGGTCGCAGTTAAACCGAGGCAAGGCGCCGCGGTTAGCCGTGGCGTTTTTGTTTGTTGCGATGACGCACGCATTTAAAGCCCGCGGCCTTCCGGCTTTCCTAGCAGGACGGCAAACGATACTCCACCCCCTACATAGCGGGAGACAAGAAGGGTGACGTGAGTATCTGTCGCTAAGGACAGTCTCAGACCGCCGGAAGATTGTCCGATCACGACATATGTCATCGGGTTTATGCGCCCTATTGTATAATGTGAAAGGGAGACGTGTTGTTACGGAAAACCGTCAATCAACTCACGAGTGACAAACATCAAGCCATCTTGAAATCAAAGAACAGATACTTGATCGTATAAAACTAGAAGAAGAGGTGAATTCAATGATCAATTATCCACAATCGCCTGATCTTTATATACGCTGCTCAAAGTCTTTCGAATATATACATCTTTCTAGGATTTCCCCTCTTCAAGTCCTACACCCCAATTCATCACTCAATTAAGCAGCCTTCACCTTCAGGTAGGCAGCCATGTATTCAGAGCTGTGAGCTCCGTACCAGTAGACAGTCTTCTCCTCGACATCGCCGTAGCCATCAACGGCAAACCAGGCCTTGTCGCCGTGGGTCAGTTGGCCGTCCTCGTTGACCGCGAAGCCGGTCATGTTGGCGCCCTCGGGCATGTTGCCGGAGTGGGGGACGGTGAACTGCACGGCGGCGACGGAGTTCTCGACGATGTAAAGGTTCTGGAAGGCGGTGGGGACGGCGCCGTCGGCGAGGTAGGTGAGGGCGCCGGCGGAGTTGGAGGTCACTGCATAGGTGGTCAGGATAGTTGTTCCGAGGCGGGGAAGATAGGGGCAAGCAACTTACGGACGACGGGGACTTGGTCGTCGGAGGTGGCGTTGCCGATGTAGAGGTACTCTGTCTTGTATCAGTACTCTGTAGCAATGAGGCGTGGTGGGTAGCTGGGTAGCTGGGGAACACGTACGGCCATCAGTGAGGACGGCGCTGTTGTCGTCGGCGACGAGAGTGAAGCGCTCGGGCAGAGAGGCGGCAGTGGCGGTGATGGCGCTGGCAAGAGCAGCAACGGTAGCGATGGAGAACTTCATTTTGGCTGGAATGAAAGTCTGATTTGTTTCTGGTTGGACTGAGTTGAGAAGAGATTGTCACCTTGATGGAGCGGTTGTGATTGTTGTTTTTGCTTCTCAGATCTCCAGCAGCGACAGCTGGCTTTATATGTCCGACGCTCCCCTGAACAGCATCCAGCATCATGATTCCATCACCCAAGAAATTTGACATCATCGGTCTCAAATATCAGACCACGGAATTAGGGGCACAGCGGGTCCCGATGAGACACTGTTTCAGAGCGCCGTTGGGTGCACTGTACTGTAAACTACAGTAATGCAGCTTATGTCTCCATCGCGATGTGTCAATCGACCCTCGTACCGTGGAACCCACGGAAGGTAAACCACGATATGCTGTATCGAAACAAGATCGATCACGTTCGCCCCAACTCAATTTCCCCCGTTTGTGAGCGGCGGTGTCGGGGTTTGGAGGACGGTGGATCTCCGAACGGCGACCCTTCTGGAATTATTTTGCTTGAGCTGTGATTGTGCGGCGGAAGGGGTCCTTCCCCACTTGGTGGGATGATCGGCGGTGTTGGCGCGCGGGGCGGGGATGCTGGTTGCTACTAGTAGTCTAACCTTGGGGTAGGGCGGACGACTGTTTTGAGTATTGATAAGTATTTGTACCTCGGTTCTTGGTTCTGGTAGCTCGTGGGGCCAGGGGAGCTAGACTGATCGTCAATTATGCTTAGTCGAGGTTATTGGTTTAGTTTACTCACGAGTACTGTACATGGTGACGGGGAAGATCGTCCGAGACACGGCCCAGAGCCAAAGACAGGTAGCGAAGATCTGCAGGTAGGCAATTGAGACATTTCAAAATAGTAATTGTGTTGACCAAGTTTGCGGACAGGGTGTCAGACTCTGTCTTGTAGCATGGTGCTACTCATCCCTTCAAGTAGCTTGGTATATCTTGGCAGATGGCTGCCTTCTCAGACACTCTTAAACGCCAGTCTATACATAGGTCAAGATCTTCGTCTTCCGTTCCTCTGCGGTACCCCTGACACTATGCACGTAGCTTGGACATAACCCCTGATTGACACCCTTTCAGCTCTACAGGTACTAGAGACTTTTGTAGACGTACTCGGAACTATCCTCTCCGATGAGTAGAAACATTCGAAGAGTAAAAGAGTTTTGCTTTACCAAGCAAAGCCCACTCTGCCTGGCCTAATACTAAATGCCCGAGGCAATATATTGCCCTTGAAATCGGAATAGTAAAGTTATCCCTCTTTTTGAAGAAACTTCCAAACGATCTGCAGCGCTATCATTATCATAAAAGTCATAAGAACCCAGCACCTGCTTTTTCATCATCTCACCAAAGCATCGGCCGGCCCTCGGTCTCATTGCAGCTCATCCCACAATGTTTTCTCCGTCCCTATCACTAGCTTATCATTCGAAACCACTTCTCAAGGCAATTACCATCACACCCCTCGCAAACAGATCCCAGCCACGCACTTATTCCCATAGCAACAATCCGCATCCCCGCGACAGACCCCCATATCTTCCTGGCAGTACGGCCAGTTGGGGTCGGTATTTCGACAGTGGCTGGCAGCACAGTACCCGGAACAGCAGCTGAGTCCGCTTCCGAAGGAGCATACCTCTTTTGTCCCCGAGTGTTCGAATTAGCCGCTGAGCTGTAGACTGAAGAAAAAGAGACAGGGATTGAGATTGGGGTTGGACTCACCGTAAACGCCTAGGCAAGTTGGCTTCGGCACGCAGGTGACGGTGGTTGTATAGGAGGCGGTCGGGGTGAAGAAGACGGCGGTTGTGCAGGTTTGGGACTCTGGGCAGGAGGGAAAGGTCCCGCAGGGGGTTGGAGGTGTGGTCGTTGCGGATGGTGGCGGTGGGACGGTGCTTGTAGCGAATGTAGTTGTCTGAGTCTCTGTTCGTCTTGTTAGAATTCAAAGCGAGATATAGGAGGTCAATGGTTGAAAACGGAAGAACACACTGCCAAGAGCCAGAAACAAAAAGAGAGCAAAGAGGTAAAACATGGTAATGTTGATGGAGTGAATGGAGCTGAACATGTTGGATCCTTGCTCTGGAAACAGAGGCAATAGATCAAGCGGTGCAGAGTTCTGCTCTTATATACTTGCAGCCAGGGTTGCACTGCATCTCGGAGGAAGCGCGAGGGAGGGCGATCAGATGCAGAGGCGGATGCGTCGGTGTGCACTGTGACTGAGCGGGATACGAGGGACTTGTATGCGATTGAAACATGTCGCGCTGGTTGTATGGGCGGATGGAGAGTCTTGGAAATCGTAAGTTTGTTCGCCAAGTAGGGAGTGATTGGAGCGCTGGGAATCGAAAATTCGGGATAGGCTCTCTCCGCGGAGGAAGATCGACGGCGCATGAACGAGGACTGAGACACACTCCCACATGTGATGCTATTTATACTCCACACCTCAAGTCTAGTTTCTTTCACCGGGTCACGCTGCAAGCCATCAAGCTGAGTGTTATCGTGCGGTCGCTTGGCTTGCACTTTGCTGCGAGGGGGTCAATGTCAACGTCATCAATGCGAGGACGCGAGGTCCTTGCAGGGCGACGACGCAAGCTCAAAGAGACGTTCGACTGGCTGTTTGTGACAGTCGTGAGACCGGAGCCATGGATACTTCCAGTAGATATGCTAGCCGAGATATCATTGTGTTCAATGCCTCGATGAAACAATGAGGTGGCTCGAGCTCATTCCATGTCGAGTTACATTCCCGCGGTTCACCTGCTTTTCTCAATGCCAGTTCTCAGCATCACGTGGCAGAGTAAGGATGCTCCAAATGCTCGGCCACTTTCTGCCTGTCGCCAAACTCGTAAACAGCGACGATTCGACGAAAAGCAACTTAGAATTCCATTAGTAGTGCCAGCAGATGTCAAATTTGCAACAAGACGACAACGCCTACACCCAGATGTCGATTTTATTGGTATGAAAGGAATAGTGTGGCCCTTCTGTGGACAACTAATGTACGGCCAATTGAACTCTAACTGAATCAGTTCGGTCGTCCAGGAGTGTACCAATGATGCAGGTCTCATTCTAGGTGAAGGATGGGGGGCGCTTTCTGGCAACAAGACTTCATTCTTAAGCTGTTCGGGTCTCGGCAAAGACGGAAAGTCCCATAAGAGTCCGGGGTACAGTAGACCTTAAGCTATCAGGGATCAGTTCCGATGCGCCGCGAGAGATCGCGTGTGCTGCAGTGAAACATAAGCAGGTATAGCTGCAAGTAAAGTGCTGCTAGCAGAGATGTAAACACTGTGAGCACCATTCATCTCTTCCAGTCATATAGCTCAGAAAAGCAATAGGCTATTTCCGGTGCTCCTGTCAAGTCCTACCCCACAGCCGATCTAATCAGATCTACAGAACAACTAGAGCTTATCTTCTCCAACAACAACAACAGCAGCAATTCGTCCTCCTCTCATCTCAAACCAAACAAAAGACGCGTTTGCGAGAGCTACACCACATAGCTCACTCAAGCACTTCTGACGCGAAGTAACACGAGTTCCTCGCCACCCCCCGTAACTCAACCACAAGCGCCCCAACCCACCAACCCCAAATGAGCCTCCCCTGACATCACCAACCGAACCTTGCTGGTCTTCCGCCCGCCCCATCGAATCCCATATTAACCCGACCGGCCCCGGATCTCATCCGCAAACATCACTTGTATTGTCTCCAAACAACATCCATCCATCGCAGACATCACTCACCACAAACAGCAAACAACAAACCAATCCACAATGAGCTCAATCCTCAAACCCACCCGCTCCTCCAACCTCTTCTTCCGCCCTCTCCTCCTGCGACCGTATCTCACCCGGCCGTACCACAAAGAACTGCACAGCAACAAAGGCGAGGAGAGTACGTCCTGACCCGAGTTCCAGCTGATTTATGCCCTTTCTTTTCGTCTAATCTCCCCTACACCTTTGGGATTGCTGATAATGCATACTAACGTAAGGATACAACAGTGTTCATCCCCCCATCCTACCCGGACGACATCGAGCCCCCGAAGCTAATCCACAAGAAGGAGACCAAGGAGAGCATGTGGGATGAGTTGCAGGCTACGATGAGTGAGACCTCGGTACGTTGACCACGGCCATCATTCCACGAAGGAAGCGCTGCGGGAGGGCATGAATAATGATGCGGTCATGTGGTAGGTCAAAGCCGATCGCGGAGATATCAAGTTCGAGCCCAAGAAAGCCGGGCAGAAAACCGCTGCGAAGTCGGATGGCGCATTCCCGGAGCGAGAAGAGCCCAGGATCGATGAGATGTGATTTCTCGCTTCCGTCGCCTCGGTGTTGCAAATGGTCTCCGGGCTGGAGAAGGAGGGAAGGAATGGTCTGGGGTCGGGGGCTTACGATGTTAGCATGGGTTTCTGCACTGTATCGGCCTTGCGCTTCTCAACAAATTGTATGCAACCTATCATTCATGTCCTAATCTGGGCATATTTTCTATGCTCTAGTTCTAGTTCTAGTCCGTGTCTAAAATTCGATGATGGTGCTCACGCTTCGAGCGGAATGTGATCTACATTCTCAACCTGCTGCACATCTGTCTCCAGTTTCCGGTCCACGTGAGTTTCCTGGGCATGCTGGCCGGGCGTGACTGTCCGGCCATCCTTGGAGCTGAATACTCCTCCTGTAATGCCACCCTTTGCAAAGAGCAGAGGAATGTCCTCCAGCTCGATTCCTTTAGTCTCTGGGTAGAAGAAGTAGACCATCGGGATGAACACGGCATTGAGCACAGCGAAGATGATGAAGGTTTTCCAGCCAATGTTTTCTGCGGCAGACGGTTAGCTGTGATTCCAATATTCTTCATCCATAGCGGAGCTTGGATTCTGAACATACTAAAAGCGATCGGGGTGATCTTCACCACGGCAAACACAGCCATCCAGTTCCACCCAGATGCAATGGCCGACATTCGCGTCCGAACCCGCGTCGTGTTGATCTCAGATGGATAGAACCACGGCACAGGCAGCCAGCCAATCCCGTAGAAGATCTGAAAAATGAAAATAAACACGGTCGCGCCGTAGGCGCAGTCAGTGCGGTTGAGCGACAGCAGAATTGTGACCATTACGAAGCACAGACACAACCCTGCGGAGCAGATCATCAACAATGAGCGACGGCCGAACCTGTCCATCAGAAACACCGGAATCGCGGACCCAACGAGGTAGGTGCACTGCATGCCGCCACCAAGCAGCATGGACAGGTTGCGGCTCATCCCCATCGTTTCTTGGAACAAAACCGGCCCGTAGTAATTGATCATATTGGAGCCCGTGAATTGCTGGCCCAGTTCGATGGAGATGGTGATCAGAAGACGGCGGAGATTCTGTACTTCGCCCCATGAGAAGAGCTCCGCAAAGCGGAAAGGGCCTTCCCGTTGCTCTTCATCGAGAACGACCTGGATGTCGAGGATTGTTTTGGTTACAGCTGAATCGTTGAGGTCAGTGTCTTGGATGGCGGCGATGACGGCGCGGGCTTCTTCATGTCGGTCGTGTTGGACCAGCCAACGCGGAGTTTCGGGGAGATCGATGATCTGTAGAATGAGGCAAATGGCGAAGATGGCCTGGAAAGCGAGCGGGAAGCGCCATTCGAAGGAGGAGGTGTAGAAGCTGGTGCCGTAATCGAGCCTGGAAGAGAGCAGTATGTGAGTAAACGTCTGATGTCACTGAGAAGGTCGGAATACCAGTATGCAATGACCACTCCAAGGATGGTAACAGTACCCTGAAGAGTCAGGAGAGCGCCTCGATAGGACGCAGGTGAGCATTCATTTTGGAACACGGGTGCGGTAGACGAGTTCATGCCATTGCCGAAACCAGTGACAATCCGACCAACAAGCAGCTGTGCTATCGAGTAGGATGAGGCAAGCAGAGCAGAACCAATGACCATGATTGTCGCGCCCGTCAAGAGCATAGTCCGTCGCCCATACTTCTCGCCCACAAAGTAGCAAACAATAGACCCGACCACGCAACCAATATCATATAATCCGGTAATGTCGCCTTGCATCGAAGCATCAGGGTTGTTGAAATCCTTGGCGAAGCGGTTGTCGGCTCCGACGATTCCGGACATGACGCCTAGATGCATATCAGCACATGATGCACGGTTCTCCAGCAACGGCACTAACCCTGGTCATATCCTAGGAGAAGAAAGGCCTGGCATGAGGCTGCGGTAATAGCAAAAATCAGGGTCCTGCCCCGAAAATCATGTTTCCAAAGCCGCATCTTGAATGAGGTGACCGCAGAGCTTTCGCTTAAGTGTAGGATAGGTAGATGAACCGAAGGATCTTTTAAGCTATCACGCCTCAGCGGGATGGCGTCCATCTAATACTCAGCCAGCGGCTTGGCAGCATATCGTCAGAAGTTCGCCCTTCATTGTCCCGAGACTAGGAGAGGGTGGGATCCACTGAAAACGGAAGTTGTTGGTCGGCTTGCCTATCGGAGTCAGGATAAGCAGCGGGCTGGCCTGTTTGGCACACCAAGTCGGTGGATCATCGCTCCGAAACGCGGGGTACCCCATGGGACGGACACATTGGCGTAACGCTGCCACGGGCCACTCGAGCTCACCGAGTGCCTCATCGGTCGAGAATCCGGTATTCTCTTTTGCAGCAGAAAGATGTAAGCGCAATTTCTGTAGTGAAAGACAGTATCAGCAACTGGAAGCTTATGGCATTCTCGCATTTCAAGGCGGGTTTATCCAGGCTATCAATGTGGAGTGGGTTCTGGAGATTCTGAGACCTCGAGATAGGATGAACCCCCAATCTTGGCCCAAGAAAGAATGGTCGAGTCACGTGCAGTCCGGTCGGCCAGATTACTCATGATGCATATCCTGTGCTCCCATTGGCTGGAGCATTTGATCTTCTACATTCACGACCCAGACATGGATCTGACTTAGTGGTCACTACAATCTGTACCTAACCCCCGGCCTAAAAAGGCTCCCATCACTCTTGTACAGCCCCGTAGCGGGACTATTATTCTCCAGACAGCATGAGCTAGAATGAATTTGAGCCTGTAAAGGTCTTCTTCAAGTTACTGCTTGTTCGAACGATATATATCCTAGAAGTAGTGTGCCTTGGAACGCACGGGAAAGTTGTCAAAGCTCAGCCACATGGCATGCCTCGCTGTACCTATGTAATTTGCCCGATGAAGCGCTCCAATGATTTGACTCCGCTCAAACTACCTACCAGGACCACGAAGCTTTACCCCAAAGTCATCTAGAGTAGCAACCAACCACCCATAAAGGGAACCGCAAAAACATCCGCGAGGTGTTTGTGCTGCATGATATCTGGAAGAGCCTAAGCCAAGTTGGTCTACAAGCCAGGTTTACATGATCTTCTGGCATTGCTCTAAGCGAAGTACTTGTATGCATGTATCACCGAAGAAGGAGTAAATCAATTGACAGAACGTACATCGATGCATGTAAGTATTCCAATCTGAGCATCAAGAAAGCGAGTAACCAAGTTCATAAAAACTGAAAAGTCCAAGACCCTCACTGGTATTCTCTCTTACATCGTGGTGATGAAGATTCCAATCCAACAGTCCAAGTATGACATATATCCAGCTCTGCAACAACGAAGCTTCTTCGACATACTCAGTATCTGTCAACCTGCAGGCACCAATATCTCTCCAATATAGGCTTTGTGATTTCGCCTGCTTGAGTATAATATCATATCCGATTACCTGTGGCCTGGAAAGAAGGGTGTTTGATGAAACTTATACGACAGATTCAGGCCTCTAACTCCAATCTGGCAATCATCGACGGGTTCTGAGCAAGGAAAATCGCGAGTAGATTGTCGTTTATGGCAAGAAGAGCATCAAGGTCATCGGTTGTCTGGAGATGGTTCATTGCATTGATAATGTTCTGCCAATGAACAACCAAGTCATTGCTAGCCCATGGCTCGCCCAGGTTTTCCAGACGGATGCGCACTTCCATGAGGCCGAATCGGATCCCAGACTGGCACTGCCGAATGGCGGTCTCCAAACCCTCATCGTGAGACACCACATGGTTTCTCAGGCGCTGAGTGCATGCTACAGTTATCTCGCTAATCTTGAAGGATATCTCATCATAGAGTTCCTCGAAGCACTTGGTGAGAGCTGATGTCTTCCCCTCCATCTCGTAATAGCAACGACTAGAGGAAGCTTCAACTCTTAGTACGATGTCATGTATCCGGAAGACACTCGCGATATACTTACATGATTTGACTATGTGTGTTTGCCAGGGCTTAGATGGAACGATAATCGAAGACGAGATGCTTTGAGCCACGGATGTGGGATGTTGAGAAGATGTTCTAAGCGAACGAAAGACAAAGCCCAGTTTTATATCCAGAATTTCCCTACAAACTTCACAGAAAGTAACAGAAGCTGAAGGAATAGACATAGTGAATATATTCACTAGCTAAACACACGTACCGGCGAGTGTATACCGGGGCTGACGTTATGAAAGCACGCGTTACGCGTCTGTTCAAATCATCTCAAAGAAATGATGGAATAGAAGCGAAGTAGAGAGAAGACATACAGCAAAGAACTTCACCAAACATATCAAAAAGGCTGAAACCTAGATGAGGGCTGAAGTTGTTAATTCACTTGTTGTACCCTTCCCACAGTCTATAAAGGTTCCCCGCCATCATCGCCTCACCACCTCTTCTCTTCCTGAAATCTTTGTCTCTTTATCATCGATCAACCAGCCTGCGAGTATCTGGATAGAATCTCTGTGGCTGTCTGCACACATCCATCATCATCTCGAATCAAATACTACTTCCACATATCGAGTTCTTGATAGAAGGCTTCCTCAGAAGATAAGACTGGTGAGGTGCCGGATTCTGAGAAGTTGATAAACTCAGACTAACAGAGTATTCTCTTCATGCAGAGATCCGATCGAACGATCAACTTGTACCTTTGTTCCACGCCATCAGAGCTCCGGTCAAACAAAGGTTGGTCCCATCCCGGTTCGATATTTCAGTACGTCTCTGATGAAAACGTGTAGAAACAAACACCATGGACAACTCGATGTCACAGAAAGCTGCGCCTGGCAATGAGCGTGCCACTGAGGGAACAACCGCTCATTCTGGCGTCAACGACTCTGTGAAGTGCACCGCCTTTGTGTCTCTGGAATGGTTTCTCAACGGCCTTTCACATCCCAAGGAGCTCCCGGTGCCCGTCGCGGAGCGCCTTCGCCAGAAAATCACTGAGTCGGACCCGACCATCGAAGGCGTCACCATCGAACGACTCATTCTCATTCGCAAGGCTCTGGTCGAGAGTAAGACTGCAGTTGACTCGAAGTCTTTCTTTGTCTTTCTGGATGTGGCGATTTCTGAGCTCGTGGAGAACAAGGACGAGGCCCCAGAGTGCCTCCTCGCGCGCGCCGTCAGAGTTTTCAAAGACCTTCTCCATGGAAACGCTGTGGATTGCAAGAGTATCGCAGAGGGCGGAGTCGAACTTGCAGCATTCCGTGCGCAGTTCAGACATGCGAACGATCAAATCATTCGGGCTTGCAAGGAGTATCACGCTGCGGTCGATGCAGGAGTGGAGAGAAAGGAGGCGATGATTGTGCATGTCTCAAAGGCGTTTGATCGGATTGGAATGGGTACTCTGCATCTGCTTTGGGAAGAGGCGAAGGGATTCTATCCCAAGGACGAAGCTGCCAAGTTCGAAAGATCCATCGCCTCGTTGGACAACTTTCAGGAAATGATCGAAGATCTCAAGATCCTCAACAATGGTTACGACTACGATGACGAGGACTCTGAATGGGTGAAAGTCTAGAAACCTTGGTCATCGTGCCAACTTTCTCTTTTGCTTGGGTTCTTGGACCTTGAGTCTTTGGGGAAGTGGATTGGATGGTTGGAACGATGCTTCTTGGTGGGACTGATGTGTAACTAGTCGGCTGTGTGACAACTTTTGCTTTCAAGTATCTAAAGTGCCAACTTAGCTCTTTGCTAAAGCTCAGGCTTTCTTCGAAAGGTTCTTTATTAGGTACATTCTCCCGGCCGTACTAGTCTTCGTAACCTTTAGTCACGTAGGTCTTGTATCGTTTCAGGTACGCAAAAACAAGATATATCTTTCTGAAGAAGATCGATGATTTTGCCTATCTATATGAATTCTAGCTGGGATGAATTCGGCTTGAAAACATGCGACTAGTCGCTCGGAAATGCGTATACTTGAGCCGCAGCCAATGACAGCCGATGGGTCACATGATGTTTACATACAATCCACGTTGAGTGACAAACAATCTGAAGTTCCAGGAGCCTGTTGAAGGCAGTGCACCAAGTACCACTGTTTAGCTACGTGCACTTATAACCACTAGAGCTTCCTTTTATGACCCTTTGATACTCTAAACCTTTTTGTGCAGACGCGAATAATCTGCCTCGTGATATACCCTGCCTCGAAGGGTAACTCGCCCACAACCATGGCTAGCCTTCGACGGTCAGCCAATTCTCTATCCATCTGCACCAGATTGCACAGGACAACACCCATTACCCAGTCATACACGCGCAACCTCTCGTTCCTCCGGAGGAAACCTCTTACGATTCCTCATTCACAGAGCCCTTTATTGCGAACTGAACCTGTCCAAGAGGAAGAATTCCCCGGCTACAGGTCCGAAGATTACTATCCCGCCAAGCCGGGCGAGATACTTGCCGACCGCTACCAACTCGTGACCAACCTCGGCCGGGGGATGGCCTCGACCGTATGGTTAGCGCGAGATATGAGGGGGTAGATTCCCCGTCGATGCATTATGAAGTGTTACACTAATGCTAAATGCAATACAGATACCGGTGGCAACAAGAGACAGTCGTCGCGCTCAAGATCGGCAACACTAATTGCGACGCAGAGGAACACGAACGCACCCACGAAAGACACATCCCGCAAAGCGACGCGACACAGGAAGGCCGAGTATTTCTTCGCACGGCACTCGAGTCTTTTGTCATTGAGAGCGAAGCGGGTAGGCATCTGTGCTTGGTATACGAGGCTATGCGGGAATCGATGCGTGACTTTCGATGGCGTTTTGTCGATGCTCGGATACCTCTCCCATTGATGAAGCTATACATCAGAATGTTACTTGTTGGGCTGGATTACCTTCATTGTGTTTGTCGGATGGTACATACAGGTACGAATCGATGGACATCTGCTTACCTGATCTGAAGCTGATCAGATGTTCCCTAGATCTCAAACTCGACAACATCATGATGACCTTCGAGGACCCATCGGTCTTGGATGAGTTTACCGCATTACAACTCAAGATTCCCATGGACTACAAGATTGACAGCGCCGGTCGATACGTTTATCTCTGCCATAACGAATTTGGGCCGCTGAGAAAAGTCAGGAATATCCCCAAGATTGTGGATTTTGGTTCGGCAATCAAGCTCAATCCTGATGCCAAATGCATTTGGCCGATTCAACCGCATCACTACCGGGCGCCCGAGGTAATTCTTGGCTGTGGCTGGAACACGGGCGCAGATGTCTGGAATATGGGGATACTAGTGCGTTGATGTACCTTCAATGTGTTAACTGCTAATACTTTGCAGCTTTGGAACCTCCTCCAGGGTAGTAACCTGTACACACAGGTTTACGATGCTCAAGGATACTATAATCCTAGATCACACCTAGCGGAGATGATCGCCTTGTTCGGACCCCCTCCTCCAGAAATGCTTGCAAGGGCCCGGGAAATGTCGAATCAAAGGTGGTCTCCAAAGATAAGAATGACAGGTTGTAATGGGAAACTATGTGACACGGTTGAAGACTTGTTTGATGGTCCCTTCTTTGATGAAGAAGGTAGCTATCTCCCTCATTTCGATTAAGGTATATTGCTAATCGCAAGAGAGGCAAGTTCCTGTATCCGGACCTAATTCCCGAGCGCAAGCTCGCGGATACGCTTTCCCTACTTGAAGGTAAAGACAAAGAGGACGACTTTCTGGATTTGACCAGGAAGATGCTTGTGTGGGATCCAACGGAGAGATCAACGGCTGCTGAGCTGGCTGAGCACCCCGCCCATCAAGATGATTGAAGCTTATCCCTTCTACTGTACTATTAGCAGGATTTAGACACTGAACATACTCTTCTCTCTATTATAGACTCACCATCAAAGATAATGGGATCTAACTACACGGAAAGTGCTGTATTATCATCAAAGGTGCGAGACATGGTCAACCAGCTTGGCTCGACCTCGGAGAGAAGATTGCAGGGGAGTCAAGCGGCATGGTTGTTGACCCATAGAAGGATATCAGTGGCCGACTCCTTTCCTTCTTGCTTCTCGGTATGTATGTAACCATGGCATTATGGCTGGGCATGTTACAAAGTGAAACATGATGGTCAACCCTTGTTCTTTTGATTTTTCTTTTCTTCACTTCACTTCACTTCTCTTCTTTCTTTTACCAATTGGGTTCGACATCATAGCTTATTAGATACCCCCACGACGTTGATTACGGACTTGATGGGCCTTCATACTCACCATCGCATTGTGCGTGGACCATGACATTCTTAGTCCCTCAAGCGGCAGTATGAAAGCGAAGGGCGGTGATGGTGTTAACCCGAGCCTCTATGCTTCAGTATGGAGACTCTATTGCCCTTCAGTCCTTGTACTACCTTAGCGAGAGTATCGGCATCCGCCCATGGCTGAGACCATCGTGTAGTGAGGGATAGACAACAACAAGCTTCAGATTCGTCAACCACATGCAAAAGGACATCCAAATGTCGGGGATAGTTCTATGGGGACAGGTCTACAAACCATATGTGGGATTAAGATGGTACTGTACTTGACGATCGTGATCCATGGAAAAGCTTTAAAGTACCACGGGTCGTGGTAGCACGGCTGACTGAAACCGCAGGCGGGATGGGTCAGCAGTGGTAACGATGCCGCCAGCCGAGCCAAATCCAGTCCCTTCTGACTCCGCATCGCTTGACTGTTCCTTTCAAGTGATGATTTCATCGAGCCACTTATTCCATACCCTTGGGGTTCTCTGACTAGTTGGTATCCCCTTTGAGACGCTGTACCAAGCAGACCTCGGGTAATGAGATCATGGACTTTCGAAATAAAGAAATTGCGGGGAAGCAGATCTTCAGTGCCCTCCGCTCCATCCCTACACTTTATAACAACACCAAACTCCCTGAACACCTTGGCTAGGTCCACGATTTCCGAACAAGTCTGTGCTTGTAAAGCTTCATCATGGAGAGTTTTCTCAACCATCCTCTGGGCTTAGTGTCCTACTTTCCCCGGGCAATCCAGTTCATCAGCTCCGTGATCGTCCTTGGAATCACTGCTTGGGCTGTGCAGGAGACGAAAAATCTCACGGTCATTTATAGTTTGGTTATTGTAAGCCGTCGTTGCTGTTCTAGAACTCGAAACACTGCCGTGCTGACACAAGTCCAGTCTGTCGTTACTCTCGTTGTCACCTCCGCGGCGCTTCTGTTCAGCTGTATGATCAAGCGCCAGAGATGGCACATCTGGCCAATACTGATCACTGATGGAGTGATTTCCTACTTGTAAGTAGCATTACCACGTAGGTGTGGAATTGCCCGGAGATGTTCTGACGCGTGGTGTTGCAGATGGCTCGTTGCCTTTGTGTTCTTGGCGCAGAATTTCAACGCTGTGAACTGCCGTGTCATCCTGTGGAATGGGTTGACGGCTTGCAGCCGAAAATATGCCGCAGAGGCATTCAGCTTCATCGCATTGTAAGCCATTCTGGATGGTGCGGTGAACACTTCCCATCAGATGCTGACCCGTCCAGTTTCTGTGCTCTGGTGGCACTCGGTCTCGAAATCGGATACATCTACTGGGCAAAGCCAAAGATCTCGGCCCCGATGCAGGAACGGGGGCGCGAGGATCAGCTGGGCCAGAACCTGGCGAATGCCGGGGTGATGTAGTTTGGTTGTGAGCGCGGTGCCTGTTGTCGGGATTGCTCGGTTCTGGAAATTCGGGCCCCTTGAGTCTATGATGTCAGTTTCCGAATGCGCACTTTTTGTTTCTGTGTATAAGACGTCTACGTCGTCCGTGTCATTAATATGCAACTTGGAAATCTTGCACACCAAACATGAAATACATTTAATTTAACTCTGCTCTGTGTGCTATCACCGTCATGCCAGCGACAGCTTCGTGAGTTTGCCACGAAATGCCCGAACGATGATCACGTGATTAACCCTGCTCGCCGCTACAGAGACGTCTGCCTTGTTATACTGGCTATTTTCATTCCCCCACTCGCAGTCTTGTTGAAGCGGGGATGTGGACCGGATCTCTGCATCAATATTGTACTGACTCTGCTCGGTGATATTCCGGGCATAATCCATGCATTGTAACACCGCCCGGTAGATATTGTTGTTTCGCAACCATCTTGCTAATGCATAATAGGTTCATCGTTTTGACTTCGCGTGATAGACGGGACTGGAATCAAAACCAGTACTACCATCAGAGCCGATACTATTAAGTCAAGGTTCTACCTAATATTGTCTCCACGAATTGTCGTATCGATTCAACGAAGTAAATCATGATAATTATTAACTCTCACTAGTTGTAATGTACATAAATGGATTTCTTGATTCAACTTCTTCCTGCATGGGAACTCGCCTATTATTCCAACTCATCTTGTAAAGAAATGCGCTAGGGATGTATCCGGGGGCGCCCGAACCCTACCTACTTACGTATAGTCTAGTAGGGCTGAACTATGCGGGTCCGCAGTGGAGGCCGAGCGGGATTTGCTCCCGTATCTCGCCAAGCTAGCCACGTAGAGTTTTGTAAATTGTTCGATTTCTTGAAGCAAGTTTCTCCAGCTTGATGAAGATACTTCGACTCGAAAAGAATGTTTAACACAAGCTATGCGCAACAGTTCTAAGGCTGCAGAGCCTTCGTCTCTTCTGCGAAGTTATGTCCCCACAGCCATGGACACACGAGATAACAACAGCACCGGAAACCGATCCCGTGCCTTATCAAGTCCTAAATCGGATCATGCAACGTTTGCCTCTATACAACGGTTTAAACAACATGAACACGGGAACTATATCTAGGAGCCGTATGGTGGCGATAAACACCTGCATCACCTGCATCACCGGCATTGGCAATCTGCTCGCAGGCCTGCTGAAAGTATGCATTCCGACCATCTCGACCAAGTTAGAGAAGAGATCCCAGCTGCCCTCCAGCTGTGGCCTACCTCGGCCGTTGCCCTCGCATGTGGTTGTACTCTCCTCCCTTTTGGGCTGCCACTGACGTTCCAAGTTCTCGGCTGCCGCCGCGCATGCTTACTGGGGGGCTTAATTCAAACAGCTAGTGCGGTAGGAGCTGGCCTCGCCCGCACCTCGACACAATTGATCGCCCTGCGCGTTGTCGCAGGAATAGCCGCCTCCTTTTGCCTCCCCGCAGCGGTTGGCGTCACTGCGAACGTCTCTCCCGCCAACAAGAATCCGCGTCGACGCAGTATAACCTTCGCTGCAATGGGAGGGGGCCAGGCGGTCGGCTTCGGCCTCGGCATAGCACTTGGGTGCATCTTCTCCGACACTGTCGGCTGGCGTTGGGGATTCTACGAAACCGCCCTTCTTAACGGCGCCGTCCTGGCTCTCGCTCTTTGGGTTTTACCCACGACCACCAACACCTCATTGGGGAAACCCACTCTCACACGGCTCGCCCAGGAAGTCGACTGGGTCGGGCCCCTGATCATCAGCACCAGCCTTGCGCTCTTCTCTTACGAACTCGCCGTAGCAACAAGCAGCATTGATGACTCTCATACCTTCGCCCCCCCACTCAATATATTGTTGCTCTGCATCGCCACCCTGCCCATCCCAGCTTTTATCTACTGGATGCACCGCCAATCCCGCCGCAGTCGTCCGGCCTTGATCACCAACACGCTCTGGAGCAGCCTCCCCTTCACGGGCATGTGCATCACCGTCTTCCTCCTCTGGGGCACCTTGAACGCCAGTGAACAACTCACAGCATTATACCCCACGTCCGCGACGTCTCCGCCCTGACCTCCTCGCTGTACTTCCTCCCCGCAACGATCGGCGGGTTGCTGATGAACATCGCCATCGGCGCGTTACTACCGCACCTGCGCCCCTCTGTCGCCGTTCCCGCCGGCTGTCTCGTCTGCGGAATCGCGCCCCTGCTCCTCGCAACGCTATGCCGCACCGACGGTCCAGGCTACTGGGCTGGCGTTCTCTAGGCGATGGCGCTGAACCCGCTGGGGGCGGATCTCATGTACACGATCGCCAACCTGGTGAAGACGGGGGCGTTTCCGGCCAAGACGCAGGCCCTCGCCGGCGGAGTGTTCAATATGCTGACGCAGGTGGGGAAGAGCATGGGGATCGCGACGTCAGCAGTGCTCGCGAGGCAGGTCACTGAGCAGGCGGGTGTGGGGCCCAAGGAGGCACCCATGCTGGGATATCGCGCTGGGTGGTGGTATAATTGCTCCTGGGGCTTTATGTCCGTGTTGGTCAGTTGGTGGGGTCTGAGGAGTGTTCATAAGGTAGAGAACAAGAGCGATTAGATTTGGATACTCATATCACGTGCTCTGGCATCCATGGTATTAGTTCCACTGGTGACAACTGCCCTCCGTCATCTAATTGTGCAATATTAAACATTTCCCGGAATTGTGATCTTCATGTAGGCCATATATTCTCAAACAGTTTCAGTCGAAGAACGCTTCGTTCTTCTCCCCCGATTCACACTGGCAACCCATAAAGCCTCAACCTCATCTTTAGCCACCATCCAAATCGTTCCCTTTACCGTAACAATGCATTACCGTTGGTTCGCACAGAGCGAAGTCGCGTCCGGCTCCTCCGTTCAGCTCAGTGAGACTTGGACCGTCTTGGAGGCATGCCATGAGCATGTTTTCCAGTACTATGCGGGAGAAGGGAGCCCAGCGAACCCCCCGTCGTCCTATGCCACCATTCGCCTTGTCTGTGAGAAGCTCGGCAGTCATGTCAAGGCTCACGTAAGAATCTACAAGCAAATTCCTGCTGGGGGCACCGAGGCCGAATCACCTGCCGTCCGCGGCCAGCAAGCGCAGACATGGGACGACCCACCAGAGCTCGTCGCCCTGCGCGCTCTTACGCGCGAGAAATCCCAGATCACTCCGCGCCTCCTGGACTCCAAGATCACGAGCCAGGGAGAGTCGGGTCTTGTTCCCGGTGGTTTTCTGGACTATGTCGTATGGGAGGTGGTGCCTGGACGGCGCCTGGCAAGCCGTATCACGGTCGAAGAAAACACCTTTTGGAACATGGAGCTCGACAAACGGGAGCTGATTCGGCAACACTTCCGGAAGAACTACTTGTTCGTGCCACTGTGGACATCTGTTCTCCCTTCCTCAATGCGCTTTGCATCTTGAACTAATATGGAAATATCATTTCAGGCAGCTGTGTAAATGGGGGTACATGCCGCTCCATGGCCGAGCATCCCGCCTTGTCTGGGACGCCGAGTCCGGGACGCTGTAAGTCTTGTCTATCAAGATTAATTATTCAGTTGCTAATACTTCTTTTCCCTTTCTCCCTAAGTTATTTCATCGACTTTTTCATGGCTAAGACCACAGATAAGAAGGAGAAGTGGTGCCCGTTGCGGTGGACTGGTTGGGGTCTCGCCAGGCGCCCTTATTCCATGGCGGGGGGACAACTCTGGGACGGGTCGACTCAAGGCTGGGAGTGGTAGCGTTGGTTTCTTATACTCTTTCTAATTGAAGAGGGCTTGAGTAGCCTGGATTTCCGGCATGGTGGCCTGTGCACGTTTATAATAGACTGATAACATTCTCCGGCAGGCTTTATACCTGTCTTGTAAGTGGATAATCTACCTCAGTCAGCCTTGACCCACTTCTCTGTTTGGCTAAGACGTTGACTTAAATCATAGATAACTACTAGGTAGATAGCAACGGGTGATTGGATCAAATCAACTAGATATTGCTTCGAATGAATCTGAACAATTAGAACTGCCATACTACTTGCAGCATCTCATTGTCGCATTTAAGTCAATGCTCAACGCTCACGTCAGCAGCTAGACCGAAACCGTTGCGCGGGGAGGTTCCTCCGTGCACCGCACTTCTTACTCACCCTCTATGTCATCTGGTCTAAGCTCTTGATCGCTGTCAAACTTCGCTCAATTCTTACTGTGTATTCGGCTGCTCAACTGCCACACAATACTGGATTTATCCTCTTCATTGAAAATTTGTGTTCTTCCACTACAAGTTTATTCACCTTTGCACTGCAATATGCCACCACCACCATTTGTGGACGGGAAAAGCCCTGGCACTATTTCTATCACTGTCCCGTCTGACTTGAAGCTGTTTGCAACCCAGAATTACCGATCCTTGGAGGATGGTCTTGTGTACAAACACACAACGTTTCAAGTCGACCGCGGAACACTTCTCAACTCGTCCCAGTATTTCCTGAGCAAACTAGAACAGCCCTTGAATGGGCGAAAGACAATTGTTGAGATTGGTTGTCACAGTATCACTGCATTAGAGATCATCCTTCGGAAGCTACACAATACTTTGGACCAGAAAGCTGTGGGTGATGCTTCTTTGGCAGACGTCTGGTGTCTGATTTTCGACTGCCGACAATTTCGCATCTGTCCAAAGAACCTTACACAATGGTTTGACGCAGGGTGCACCCACAAAAAAGGTCAGGCCAACCCAGGCATGGAACTGAGCTTCTATCGAGACATCCTCCTTCCAAGCTACGCTATGGAACATGCGACGACTTTTGCTCGGGCAGCGAGGGCCCTCATGTACCAGAGCACAGAGCATATCACCTCGTGGTGCCCGCCTGATGTGCGAATGCCGATTGCTGCGCCGATTCTGCGTAAGTTCGATTGTACAGTCTCAGTCATTCTTGTCCCATGTGTCTCCTTCTGCCCTCGAATACAGCGAAGTCCTCCTTGCTAACACCTAAATTGCATGGATATAAGGGCAGTTGAACGCCGCCCGTGCCACTCCCCACGATACCATACGAGGATCTTTTTGGCCGCGTTTCCAGCATGCTTCAAATATCACTGCCATCTTGTTACAAGTGTACCGTGTTTGAATACCTTCGGGAGTTGCAGAGAATCCAGGTCTGGCCTCTCAACGACTGCTTGAGACACCAAGGGATTGACGAGTTGATCGACCGCTTGGCCCACTTTGAAGCAGATTGAATACACAAGTATATCGAATCCTCACCGGACCAACCGGCAGGCTTTTTTGAAGGGCTCTGTCTTGATTGCGTGTTCAGAACGGCCGATAAGGACCATCTTCGTGATGATCAGCACTATGATAAGAAAGATTACTGGATCTTTTTGGAAAGCGACGACAGATTTGATCGTGGGTGTCGAATCCAACACGGGGAGCCTACGTGGTATTTTAGTTGTATGGGGCAGCAACCACAACGACAGGGACCCGCAACTCGTTCTGCTGGTCTACCTTGTCGCCTATCGAGCCGATGTTGACTAGCCTCTTCGAACTAAAAAGCCTTTTGAGATATTGTTGTTGCCTTCCTGTTTTTCTGGGCGGTCTTCTAATGCCCCTATTTTGCAATGTTGATTCTTATTCAGCTGATCTTATGTAGTACAAATCGACTAGATTCTAGCTTGGGATTCTGAATGTGATTTGGTGATTGTCATCGAGCCACAAAGATTGAACCCTCCTACGGTGATCATGAATGCGGATAAGTGGTCCCTACTCGGTCGGAACTCCGAAATAACCACCCGTAGGGAAGCAATTCAATTCGACTTCTGGGTCCCTTAAGCTTCTCAAGGAAGACCCGTCGGCAGTTCATCGGTCAGGGTGCATCATACGCACTACGCGTTGCTTTCATGCTACGACAACTGCACACGAGGACCGATCCTTAAGATCCTGTAGCGTTTCAGCAGGAGGTAAAGGGTGCGGTGCTGTTTGCCGTATCACCATAGGATATCAAGCGACTTCGAGTCTTGCCTAAAGATTGAGTTTGCCGAGATCGCTACCTCGGCTGACGATGCCTATTGCGACCATTTCGATTGGCATAGGTACTGGAGAGAGCTTGAAGATGGACTCCACCCTATCGATCTTACGGTCCTTCAACTGCGTATTGTTGATCAGACTTGATTAAGAGCACGCGTCCTGGAAGTAGGATGGATGAATTAGAGGAGAGAGGAAATTCAATGGCAGCACATTGAGCCGGCAACGAATTATGTTGTTCCGCATAGCCCGTTGGAAGAGTAAAAGACTGGAAGTTGAGGAATTCCCCTGGCCTGCCTTGTTGTTACCACGTAGGGACCAGCAAGCGTCGATCGAAACGGGCCTGCCGATCCGCCCTGCTTTAAATGAGAAGGCCGTTGTTGGCCGTCATCAGAAAGTAGTAGACGCTCGATTGGCCGTTGCATTGATAACATAACTGCCCTAAGGTCGTGTTAAACATGCTTGGCGGCTAAGGGGACTGACTATCCAATAACCGTTCGCTGAGTCTGTCTTGAAGACCTTCCGCTCGACCTGCTACCAAAATGAAGCCAAATAACTGAAGGGTCAGAAAATGCCGGTATTTTGGCATCAGTGCTTCGAGAGACATTACTATCCTGTTCAACTGGAAATTACTTGAAAAGATGGTTGAAGAATGGTACCGAGAGGTGCAGTTCAAATATACTTTATAAATCCTACGCGCAGTATGGCAGGTGCGTTCCGCAGTGCACGGACTTGAATTCCAAGATGTGTCGTCACTAGCATCAACCGACGATACACTCACCGCACGCATCCGCATATCCTTTTGTCGATGGATCACATTTTGTCCCTTTTCTCTTCCACATTTCAAACAACACTCTTCCCATATGAACCGTTCATCTCTGTTTTGTTGATCGCTATCATGTCTGGAACACAAGACGTCACTCGCGATGGCTTCACCTCCGCCTACGGCCGGTTCTGCACCACGCAGGGCCGCATCGAGCGCGTAGACGGCGCCACTCTCAGGTCAATCTTCCTACCCAAGCTCAGCCGCAGCGGCCAGCAGGCGATGCGCGGCCGGCCAGACTTCGTTCGCGGACAGCTCCACCACTATGATGTGGCATTTGACAAGGCTAAGTTCACTGGCAACGGCACTCTTCTGATCAGATAAGCCCCACAGGCGGGGCAGTGCGACACGGTGCCGCCGCATCGCCTCGCGTTGGAGGCGCAGCTGCACCGCGAATGGCTGGCCACCCGCACGCCGGAGCAGCTGTCCGGACAGCCGCATTGGGTCATCCAGAAGTACTTTGGGAATGATCCTGAGCGCCCGGATCGCAGCATCACCAAGACGGTAGTGGGGATCTCGTTCCCGTGCACCAGCGAGTACCGCGCGAGTCAAATGCGCGAGGCGGCTGAGAAGGTGGTCGGCCTGCACCTTGAGACGGCTCGCGGCCCGCAGACCAAGGTGATCTTCAAGGGGTGGAACAAGGCTGCGGTGGGGAAGGCGGCCAAGGGCCATGCAGCAAAGGAGAAGAAGGAGATCGAGGCTGCGGAGCGGAAGCGGGAGACGGACCGTGCAAAGCTACACGCGGACTATCGGCGCCCAACTCGGAAGGCTCAATCTCCTGTGGGGAGCTTCATTGTCGACTGTGAGAAGATCAAAGACCAGTGGCCCAAGGATGCGGATGGTTTGACTCTAGACATCCACGAAACAGCGACGCCTGGCGTCTTTGGGGCCGGGTTCTATTTTGGGACTCTGGAGGGTGCCATGATCATTTGTGCGGATGAGGAGGTTTTGGAGAGGTATTGCGCTGAGCTCGAACGAGAGGAAGAAGATGATTCTGACGAGGAGGGCTTAATCGATGATAACTCGGATGACAGTGGGGTTGAGGCGGATGGAAGCCCCAATGTGGGAGTGAAGAGGAAGATGCCAGTTTCTCAAAGTGGTCGCTCATCAAAGGAATCCAAACTGAGCTCGAGTCGCTTATACTTCTGAAGTTGAGGGGCTGTGAGACGGGTGAGGGTGAGATCTTTCATGAGCCAGATGATGGAAGTATCAAGTTCAAAGACGGCAAGTTCGACAGCTTTAAGGGCCAAGCCAACATGATGTTTATTGGCGATGGCATAGCCATTACTGGACGAAAAGTCTCTGATACGCCTGGCTCTGGTGGAGGATTCTGGGACGAGTACTCGTGGAGACACCATGAGAATGCAAGGATCGGCCGGTGGCACTAGGTCCCGTGGTGGGTATTAGCTATACAGTATCCAAATGCTCTCTCGTGTCAAATTACTGTTGTCGATTGGCGAGCTCTGTACCGTGTCCACAAAAGCATATAGTTGCACAGATACAGACATTTTACCATCGCCCCTTTCAGCCCATCGTCTGTCGGCTGACGTATTATAGGTACCTCGAGCTGCGTGATAGTTCCGGTGTGCTCATGATAGCTTTACCACAAAGTAGGATTGGCACTGTCCACGCGTTCTCCATGTGCGTAATCGGTTTTCTCGATGCCCATTCCCAACCAGGTGTAATGACAGTCTCCAGTCTCCAACCATGTAGGCGGTACTTGTTACATGGCCGCACACCGTGGTAAGACATTATAGCTAGACATAGGTAGCGTACCCGAGCCAGCGAAATGCAAACTCCACTCGTGCATTCAGCGTCGCTGCCTGTATTAGGCTTCCCCAGGTGAAGGTTCACAGCAGTCTGACATCTCACTACCTAAGTGGGTCCCCTCGCTTAGGTCCGCGAGCTTGGAGCATTGAACTGGTGCATCAACCGCGTACAGCATCTTTGATCCAAAAATGAGTTATGTTATCATCCAGGTCTAGATCACGCATTTTATTGATCTCCAACCCAACTAGATCGATAAACAAGGACAAACCCTCATACCAATATGTCGTTCAGAATGGGAGGCAACAAGAGAGCCACAGCTAGACATGCCTTGGCGGGCATCTCAGTCCCGCTCATTATTGAACACTAATTGCTTAGATCCGTGGCCTCAACCAACATCGGTGGGCTAGCGCCTCCACAATTTCTACGTTAGGGTCCTGGTCCCACGCACGGTCCATGGACCCGGTTGTATTTGGGTAATTCCCATACGCCGACTGTGCTGCGATCGTTACACCCAAGGTGATCGATTCTACATCGTTTCTCGACGAGGCGACTATCCGTATTCATATTTAGGCATCGCATCTTCGCAGAGACGGCTAGAAAGCACAGACACTCAGGCAATGCATAAGCTTAGCTACATTCGATGGATTTCACCACGGAGTGACTATGTAACATAATAATCATTCCCAAGACTGATGCCAGAACCCACCCTAGATCTCTTTCTGCTCAGTGCATTGTCTCTTAGAACCCCGCTGTGTACCTCCATCATCGTCCGCTTTCCGCGCCCTGCCCCTCTGCGTCCCACCTCCTGGCCCGGTCGCTACATGCTTAGGGAGATCGTCACCACAATAGGTGCGGTTGCGCCCCGGACCATCCAGGATGGGACAGATGCGCTCCATGTTAGACTCATAATCCCCCGTGTCCTGACACATTTGGTGGTAAAAGTCCTGGATATAATCGACGCCAACCTTGAACCATCCCTAATAGTACGGGGACTCGGGCGCCCCGTCACGTGGGTCGTAGAGTAGATCGATGGCCTTGACGAACACCTGTTCTTCGTCCCACCCCGTCGCCGTTCTGGCGGCGCGCGATGGGGCGGGGCTCGGCGCCCGCGACAGCTGCTGCACGACCTCGTCGTCGATGAGCAGACAGACCTCGGTCAGGATGCCCGGCGTGAGCGGAGGGCGGTTCCGCGAGAGGAGGATGCGATCGCGACACAGTCGGCGGATCTCGTCGATCGAGTGGTGTGCGGCCCGCGGTGGTAGGAGTTCGATTACATCCACTTCCAGACTCTCGCAGATTTGCTGGGGTAAACTTCGATCCAGCTCGTGGCAGTCATTGATTTCACAATAGATGTATGTCTTCAGTTAGCCGATGAGCTGGTCGGCAAACGTTTGGGATTCCTTTGAGAATAGTGCGTAGTAGACGAAGAATCCCCAGTTGGGATACGTTTGGATATTGGGGCCGAAGAGAAAGTCTTGAGCCGAAACAACCATGTTGGAAATTCTATCAAGGTTGGGTCTGGGATGTATATCTTTATGGAGCCAAGCGAGAGAGAAGGAGAAGGGATTGAAGCTTCAAGTAAGCAGTTAGATGAGATATAAGGTACTTGGTGGGGCCTTGTTTTTACGGGACTGGTCAGTGGAGCACAACTCGTTCGGTAACAGTAAAGTTCCACAACTAAGCCTTTGCGCTATTATTCACCAACTAACTATACTTCTTGGTAATACGTGTTCATACACCTTTTGTACCATCGCCAAGACATAATAGAGAGACTACCAATAATCCGACACATTGTTTACAAGTTGATCTTCGTGATTTCGAAGTATGACAATCGGAAAGGATACATACTTGATGAAGAGAATCCCGTAGATAAGAGCAATGCACAGTACACCTTCATCGGGAACTCACTCGGCTCCCGGAAGTAGAGCTGGAAAGGTCGAATCAGAGCTTCTAAAAGATGTAGAGAGAAAAGGTTTCCGGGAGGAGGATGAAACAGAATATGAGGATCTCCCCATACATCCACAGCAGTAGTCAAATCATCCATGTCCAGCCCCTGGCGGGGTTGGTGAAGCTGCCGATCAGGGACCCGAGGACCGGAGCGGAGACCACAAAACATCCCCAGATTGGAGCCATATAATCGTGCACTTCAGAATCCCCGAGATCACCCATCGATGCCACCTCAGCGGCAATAACAGAATAGTTGAAGAAGCCTGTCAGAGATCGAAACGCAAGGAACACGCCAAAGTCTTCGGCGTATATGACAGCAAAGCCGGAGAAAAAAAATGGTCCGGGTAGTTATTTAATGATGGATCCCCCGATAATAGGCAGCTCCCAAAGCCGCAACCAGAGTATGGGTCCGAGTCAAAGCAATGATCAGTTGGAAGGGGTCTCTCTAAAGTCACCGTAGAAGGTAGTGGGTTGCGAACCAATTTCATAGGCCACCACGAAGAGTGCCAGCCCGAGCGTAGTTGCTACCTTGCTAACACCAGTAATGCCGGGGGTGTAAGTCAGAACCGATGTAGTTGGCGAAAGTGAGAAATTGAATCTGGATGCTCACGAAGAGCTTGCGGCCAGTGGCTCACTTTTGGGGGATTCAGACGTGTTGTGTTATTTGCAGAGTCAGATATTTTGGAGGCGGGCTACAATGGAAACAGCCGGGGCGAATTTACGTCTTCGTCGTCGGAGACATTCCAATCGCCTAGGCTGGTCGCATTGCCCAACCGATAGATTCCTAGTGATCACCATCTTGATGCTATTCATAGGGCATTGGGTGGGATTCATGGTTGAGTTTGGGAGATCGAAGAACCCAAATCTTCCGCGGAAACGCTCTCAAGTCCGCTGGAAATAGCCCCACGCAAGCCGTAAATCCGCTCCGTCTTCCGTGCTCGGATTTGGTTTATCTTCCATGTACTGTGCTTTCCAAGAGCTGATTAGGTAAAGTCCACCATACTCATTCTCGGTTATTGCCTGACATACCTTGAGCAAGTTTGCCAGCCCAAATCTTCGTTCATCATATCATGTGGTATAAAGCCGACAGCAAGCAACCTCTAAGAATGGCTGAACCTCCCATCGCCCAAAAGGATAAGACACCACTCCCGAAGCCGACGCCGACGCCATGATCCTCCCTTCGCTAGCATCCTTGGTGCTCACAGGCACCCTCACTACCACCGTACGAGCGAGAGGGGAGGCGTTCAACTCTACCTCCAAGTTGCTGGCCGGTGGAACTGTGATCGCCTTCGATGCAGAGACCGAGAGCCTTCAAGTCATCCGAAACGGCTCCGTCTTGATTGTCGACGATCGTATCGAGGCAGTCTACTCGGGACAATACAATGGCACCTTTCCCTCCAACCTTGACATTGTGAATACCACGGGCGACATCATCACCCCCGGATTCATCGACACTCACCGTCACAGCTGGCAAACCGCCTACAAGACCGTTGCCTCCAATACCACTCTGGCCGAGTATTTCGATCGGTACGGAGAGTTTGCCGTAAATGGGGAGTATTCGCCCGAAGATGTCTACATCAGCCAGTTGGCGGGTCTGTACGAAGCGATGAACGCCGGAGTCACCACGATCCTAGACCATGCCCACCACACCTGGTCCAATGAGACCACCGACGCGGGTCTGGCTGCCAGCATTGACAGTGGTGCTCGCATGTTCTGGTGCTACACCTTCCACAATGTGACGAATTACACTTTTACCGAGCAAGTGAATAAGTTCGAGGAAATCGCCAACAGCGGCCCCTTCGACGGCACGGCCACCAGCCTCGGGGTCGCTTACGATGGGTTCAACCCTGGTAGTCCAGCCCAGACCGAATAGGTCATAGAGCTGGCCAGGTATGTCTTTCTTTACCTGTTGTCGGACTAAAGCTTGCGAAATTCATCAATAACCGAGGCTTGTTCTCTAGCAAATATAACGTCTCCGTCATTACCACTCACTCCCTGCAGGGTATCTGGGGAGGTATGCTGCCCCTCTTGAGATCAAAGTCTAAGTGAACCTGCTTGCTGATCAGGTCCGCGGATAGCCATCAATTCTCCGGAGGATCTGAACGCTCTGGGAATCTTAAGCACCGCCATTCCCGTGGTCTTCTCCCACGCAAGTTTCTTGACCGGCGAGGGGGCAGCCTTGTTGCGCAGCACGAACCAGTATATCTCCATCACGCCCGAATCGGAGATGCACTACGGCCACGACCATCCCCGCAGCCACCTGATCCAGGACCAGGCCGCCTTGGGGGTTGACACGCACTTCACCTACTCGACCGACATCCTGACGCAGGCACGGCTCTGGCTTCAGAGCGCCCGCGTCGCCTTCTACCGCTGGGTGCTGCAGAACTGGAACATTCCGGCCAACAACCCCATGTCCGTTGATAAGGCATTTCTACTGGCCACGCGCAAGGGCGGTCTTGCCCTGCGCCGACCCGACCTCGGCGTTATAGCCGTGGGGGCCAAGGCCGACGTGGTCGTCTGGGATGGTAACACCCCCGGTATGCTCGGCTGGGGCGACCCTGTGGCGGCCATCATCCTGCACGCCAACGTGGGCGACATCAAGCATGTGCTCGTCGACGGTAAATTCCAGAAACGCGACGGGGGAATTGTCAGCAGCACTTACCCGGCCGTGCGAGACCACTTCCTGGCCACCGCGAGGAAGATCCAGGCGATCTGGAAAGCCAAGGCCTACCCCGTTTTGGAGGGGGATTTCCCGGAGTCGGGCTTCGCGTACGGTCGGGCTCCGCTGGCGGATACGCAGCGTGGTGAGGGTGATGGGTATGGTGAACAGTTTCTGTGAGGGGCTTGGTCGGTCCGTCCTGAGCATGGTAGAAATATCAGTAAGTGTGCTGAACAGAGTGCCTGTATGAGTACAGGTAGCTTTGGGAGAAGTGCTACCGGTTTCTCTGTACTACAATAGAATGTAGAATCAGCCTCCTAGAAAACAATTAGGGAATGGACACTGGAGAGTCTGGCACCGATCAATTAGTGTAGAATTGTCCTCAGCGCGGGTTTCAGAAGAATTCGTCGTGGGTGTGGCTCAGGTCTACTCCGGCGCCGGTAGTTAGCTAACTAAGTATCCCACCTCTATGGACCCTCCCCGCATAAGCGAAATTCGGATCTTGGTTATAATGGATCATATCGATTGTAGGTTACATTCCCTTCCGCAACTCCACCATTGTATAGGGCCATTATGGGTATATCTCAGTCCAATTGTACTGTACATTACAGTATGTAAACCACCCGACACGCGACCACTACATAGGTAATCTCGCCATCTCCTCCTTACTCCAGTACCGTCTCATATTCTCTGCCCCGGGCGTCTTGACCTCCTGATCGAGATGTGTCCAGAGCACCTCCCTCCACCCCTCCATCTTGCCCCGCAGCACATCCAGTCGGAGCTCCTCGTCTCCTTGCAGGCATCTCTCCAGATACTGCTGAAACCCTTCCAGCCCGGCATGGATCTCCCGGTGTTGCCGCAAGAGCTCAGCTGCTTGCCTGCCTCGCCCCGTGCGGAACTCAGGCATTCGTTTCGCCAGGTACGGAAAGATCCGCGTTTCTTCGATCTCGTGGTGGATCTCAAGGTGCTCGGCGAACCGCAGCCCCTCGGTCAGGAACTGCCTCATGCTAATGTGGGCTGGTCGTCGGCCACTAGTCGCGGCCTCCCAAAGGATAATCCACGAGCGACGGAGGAATCCATGCTAGAAAGCGCCACAGATATGTCAACAATGGCTTATTACTCACACCATTTCAGGGGAGAAAGGAAAAAAAGAAAATCAAAATAAGAAAGAAGACAAGAGAATGGGAGGAAAAGGGCAGGGAAGAACTGACAAAGTAGTCCATTCGTTCGGCAGCACGATTGTACACCTTGAACTCTTCTTCAGACAGGGGCGAATAATCTTGTGGCTCAATAGTCATGGCAGGCGCTGTTGTCGCTTTGCTAGGCGTAGTCAATCTGGGCGATTGTGCCGATACAGCCGTGATAACACGACGGACACTATCTTTCAACATGGAGATGCGTTGAAGAGGTGTGCAAGATCGACAGGCGAAGGCAGGCAGGATAGCATCAACTACAACGATGAAGAACTGATACCTCAGTCGGGTAGAGGATCACAGCCGCGGCGTGGGCGGAAGACTTTCAGAGTCCTTGGCTAAAGTTGTATACCAGGCTGATACACGCACACTACCCTCTCCATCATTTGGGTACTAATCAATATAACATCATTTATCAGCATTTATCAGCAGAAGAGAATTAGTGAGAGGAGCCGCGAGGGATACTACACTTAAGTCCGCAGGTCTGGCCGGATTACGGATTTGCGGACGGATATAACTGGCTTGGGCGGATCATGACATAATCTTCAACCATGGTTGATGCGACTCGGATCCACTATGATGATTACCAATAGCTACACGAGGTTCATTCGTGGGTTGGCCTTTGCTCCCAGGTATGCAATGTAATAGCCCTCTGGACAAGCGACCGAGCTATTTATACAGAGATGCTCCTTATCCCAGGTACACTTGGCCGTTTCCTGGCAGCACATTAGCCTCACCAGTCCTGCTTATTCTAGAAGATCATCCTTTGTTTGCTACTCGCCATGGCTCCACGGATTGCCATCGTTTTTGTGAGTGTGATTCCTTTCTCAGATCTGACTTTCGAGTTCTGACCTGGATCGCTTGATAGTACTCCATGTACGGCCATATTGAGGCATTAGCTCGGGCAGAACTGAAAGGAATCCAGGCGGCCGGTGGTCATGCCGACCTTTACCAGCAAGCACATTCCGATTGATGCTTTGTCGAGGCCCTCAGCAGCATGCTAAGACAACATCATCAGGATTGAAGAGACGCTGCCGGCTGAGGTTCTGGCCAAAATGCACGCTCCCCCCAAGTCATCTATCCCCGTGATCAAGCCGGAGCAATTAGTCGAGTATGATGCAGTTCTCTTCGGCATTCCCACGCGTTTCGGGAACTTTCCTGCGCAGTGGAGGGCTTTCTGGGATCGCACGGGCGGCATTTGGGCGACAGGCGGTTACTGGGGCAAGTATGCCGGCTTGTTTGTTTCAACCGGCACTCAGGGCGGTGGCCAGGAGTCAACTGCTCTGGCGGCCATGAGTACCCTAGCCCACCACGGCTTCATATATGTACCCCTCGGCTACAAGACGGCATTCCCCCTCCTCACGAACCTTCAAGAGGTCCATGGTGGAAGCGCCTGGGGCGCTGGTACTTTTAGTGTTTGTGCCTCCGTCTTCTTCCTTCTGTCGCCAGTTCGCGCCACAGCTAATTTGTCTCTCTGCTGCAGGACGCGGATGGATCTCGCCAGCCTAGTGAGCTGGAGCTCTCGATTGCCGAGACGCAAGGGAGATCGTTCTATGAGCATGTTTCCCGTCTCAACTCCACTTGACTATACGACAGCTTGCAGACAGCGACGCCAGTGGTCGGGCCAGATCTGCCAGGCTACGCAGTATCACAAGAAGCCATGCAGCCCGTACAGCTTCACGAAAAGGCTTCGGTTTATCGTACTATATCCGAGGAACCCGCGGGGAGGCCATGCGGCCTCCCTAACAAATCTATCATGTCATAATTTTTCTACGTGCTCTCGAAGTGTTGCAGTTCATCCATCGCAGGAGTCAGCGTGTGGTGTATTCTTGTCCAATATATATCCGTATCCTTCATGGACGAGTGTGTCGGACTTTTGGTGTCCCTCAGTAAACATGGAAAACCACGTTAAGTAATCGACGTAACAGACTACATCGATACCACCCGAGAAAGAATCTTCATCTGTAGGCTCTCGGCGCAATCATTAAAGCAACTCGGTGGCGGGGATGATGGTGTAACGGTCATGTGACCAGGATCCAAATCCGGAGCGTTTGCCGTGCCATCCGCGTTCGCTTTCTAAGTTTGCAACCAACACCTCCGTCTTGGATGGTAGTCACTTAACACAGCATGTTTACAACTAAGATCTCCAAAGCATGTCAAGAATGCCGGAGGCGCAAAATTCGATGCGATGGATTGAATCCGTGTTCGACATGTCAGCGACGAAATACCGTGTGCCAGTTTCGGAAACGCGCTCGTGTGCGTCAGCGGCCGGGGACAGCCATTCCACCACCATCCGCTCAGGGGCCTGATGCGCCCTTTGGCGACCTGGAAGAGACCCGTAGTCAGACCTTGACTGAATCAGCATCAGTGGTAGATCTAGCTAGTCCCGGGGAGAAGCCGAAGGAGCACCAGCACCGGCCTAGTGAACCTCCATCGCACCTCTACAGGGATGTGCACAAGAGTGTGTCCGCCCGCGAAAAATCGTCTTCATCGGACTCGGTGGAATTGTACTATGGCCCAACCTCCGACTTCTCCCTCCTTCAGCATCTTTACCGCCGTCTTTACATTCATGCGAATCCGTCGGCTCCTCAACCCGACCGAGGTGATACAGACGAGGTAGACCAGGGGCTGGACTTCTTCCGCATCCGCCATATCTTCTTCGGACTAACGACGGCGGCACAGGGCTCTGACCAGGCCGAACAGCCCCTCCTGAATCTGCCTCACGACAGGTGAGCTATGCCTTGATGAACCGGTTTCTTGCTACGCATTACAATGCCGTTCCCTTTTATCTGAAATCCCGCTATGACCAATTGCTCCGGGCCTTGCTTGGCGACGCCGACAACCACCCGTATAGCCCAGTCCAGAAGCAGATCGGCCTGCTAGCCATGGCGACTGCTGCAGCCAATACCGAGCACTTTGAATGGGGTGCGACCGTGGCGGAATACTGTGAAGCCCAGAGTGCAAAAACTGAGCACATCGTCAGCCTGGAAACCATCCAACTGGGAATTATGATGATAAGTCTAAATCCCCCCCCCCCACACCCACTTTCCACCTTCAAAGTGTTTTTCTGCATCAATTGCTTAGTAAAAGCGCTGACTGGGATTGTATGCACGCCATGTATAATCTGGAATATGCACGTTCCAACATCGCCTACGTTGTCATTGGCAATGCTTGCCGCAAGGCCTTTGCCGCTGGTCTGCATCGGCAGCAGTTGCGCGCCGACTCGGATGACAATCAGGGGACGCTAGAGCGGCGCCACACCTTTAGGTCAATGTATTTTATAGAAATGTGAGGGCGTCCCAGCTGCCTTGTGTACCTAAATGACCGTTCCTAGATGGACCAGCTTCTACCTCGGTCGCCCGAGCATGCTGGAATTTATCAAGATCGAAGTCGCGCAACCACAAGACATCTTTCTCTCGATATTGCTGCACTTCGCGGCTGTCATGCTCAAGATCGTCCAGCAAATCTATCGCCCCCAATGCGCCCCATCCGCCCTGTGGAACAATGCCATCGCCGTCGGTAGAGAGATGGCTGCACTTCATTCCAAAGCCCAAGCAGACTTCGGGATCGAACTGGATGCGCCTCGCATAAGTGATCCACGGGGTATGCGGCCCACGGTTCTTGTAACCTGTTCGTGTTCACCCCTTCTCCCATGCCCGGAAACCGATAGCCTTGAAGCCAACATTTGACCTCTAGTGTATAATTTCATGTCCTTACTCATCTTTCGGCCATTTCTTATCATTCGTGGCAAGCTCCAACATTCACAGGCGGAGACATTCGAGTCCTCTGCGACTCCGCCGCAACCCCGCCCGGGCATTCCCAGTTGGCTTAATGATGCGTGTCACCGGTGTTTGAATGCAGCCGAATCGATCATCCTCTACATTTGCCAGATTGCCGCCTCCGATTCTTTACTCTTGGTAAGATAAAATTTAGGTTGACCGTGAGAGGCGCGAACTGCCGTGTCTAACACCGCTCATTGTTGTAGGAACTCCGCTTCAACTGTTTCTATATGGAGAACTGCCTATTTGTGCTACTATATGACATGGCTTCCAACCCAGAGAAGCACGCCCACAATCTGCCCCTCATCCACGAGGGTTTACAGTTCCTGACCCGCATGCGACCGGGTGATCCCGTGTGCAGCTCCATAACCACCATCCGCCGCGTTCTGCATCACCTGAACCTCGACGCCGGACCCGGGGAGCTCGTTCAGGATCATCACCATCAGCAGCATTCTCCACAACTCCAAGGTTTCGATCCCTCCTCACCACCGCCGCCACCGCCACCGCCACTATATCTGTCTCAGATGGCCATGGGACCCGGGGTCTGGGGAGAGCAGCCACAGCAGCACCACCTGCCCCTCTCATCCCACCCTCTGGGGGAACCCGGATTGCTGGCTCCCAGTGCGGGTCTACAATTTGACTTGGATCTCTCCGGGGCGGACTTCAATGTGGATATAACGGCGATAGACTGGGGTACATTTTTTTCTTATGTGCCGAATCAATGATTCCGTAGGACAGGTTTGAATTACAAGAGGACTCTAAGAGCACAAAACGCCGAATTGAGAAGCGGCAGCCCTTGCAAATCCCCGGTGAATTCGAATCTTTCTCCTTCTCCTTCTTCTTCTTCCCGTCGTCCTCTTTCTTGACTCTTTACAATTAATCTTGTAAGTTGTCCTTCTTACCTCCTTCCGTGCAAAATAAAATGAAGAGATTTTCAACCGGTGGAATTCCTCCGCCCTCAAATCCGCCCTCCGTAAGTCCGCCCTGCGGAAGAGCGGACTTGCGGGAAGGGGATCCACCCGGTTCCCGCAGTTCTGATAATGTTAGGTTAGTGTGCGTTCATGAGCCCTGGCACTTGACTTTCTCTTCCTTTGGGTAGGTGGACACAGGAAAAACCAAAAATTCATCTATAAAGAACAAACCTTGATGGAAATACCGGGAAGGGATTGAGTGCCCATCTACGACCAGATAACAGACTATGTACCACTAGTCTTGTTCGGCACCAGGCCGAGCCCTGCGACCAGATCTCAATTCCGAGACGGGCCGATCTTTTGTCAATCCGTTCAGTCCGTCACCACATCTATCTTACTAGACAGGTGAAGGGTGCCCCGTGGTTCCGGGACAAGGAGGCTCCCTTGAAGACCATTCTTCCAGTTGGAAATTCCAAACGTAAGAAGAAAAATGAGGAAGCGAGGAGGGCCGAAAACGGGAGAAAATGAGCAAAATATAAAACCCGGGGACCAGCGCTTGGAAGAGCAGTCTTCATATCGATACAGGGCCTCTGCACCGATTGAAATCGAGCTTCTTGGACGTTCATCATGCGTACCAGCTTATTGCCAACCTCTCTACTTGCGGCCTTTGTGGGGCTCATCGCTGGAACGACAGCTTGTGAAGACCATTTCCCCCTCTGCCACCCGCCCTTGCCGAGGGGTATGATTACATCGTCGTCGGTGGTGGTCCTTCGGGGATAATCATGGCGGAGCGCCTCGCTGAAGCCAATAAGAAGGTCCTGCTCCTGGAGCGCAGCGTGACAGGTCCAACCGTCACCACGGGGTCTAACCACTCTTTGGTTTGAAACAACACCTTGACGGCTATTGATGTCCCAGGTTTTTCATTTGATGTGGGCAACATCGATTATGTCGGCGGCTATCTGTGCTCCGATACCGAGGGAACCGCCGCCTGTATCCTCGGGGGAGGGGTTTCGGTCAATTATATGGTCTTTGTTCACCCTCCCGATCGTGATTTTCGACAATAAGTGGCCGCAGGGGTGAAAGTGGCAAGATGTACAAGCTGAGGCGGAGCGGCTATACCTTCGCAACCCTGGTAGTAGCCTGCCTTCTGCTGACAGCCAGCGTTACGATCAGGTCTTGTACATTATCCTAGCTAACTTCTTCTCCCGACTTGGCTGGCGATCCATGGATATAAGCGCCCAACGCAATGAGAAGCATGGTTTAGAGCCACCCCGATTGGAACATCAAGGCTACAAACCTGCGGGCCCACTCCGCACGTATCTACCACAGGCTCTGCAGCGTGATAACTTCTCCCTGCGTATGAATGCAAAGGTTACCCGCGTGGTCCGCGACGGCAGCCGCGCCACGGGCGTCGAACTCATCTTCCCGGATCGGAACAATACTACTGAGATTATTCCCTTAGCACCTCGGGGTCGTGTGGTGCTGTCGGCCGGCGCCTTATCCTCGCCACGAATTCTCTTCAACTCCAGCATCGGCCCGAGCGCCCAGATTGAGACGGCCCGACGGAGTGGCGTTGCGGTCCCGCCGACTAAGGACTGGATTCATCTGCTCCGTTGGGGTAGGTTTGATGGATCACCCGATCTTCTCTATTGTTGTGAAGACGAACGGCACTTTCAACGAGCTGGATGCTGAGGCCATCCTGAATGGGACAGCTACGGGCCACATTCATGCCTACGAGGACTAGAACGGAGGGGCCTTAACCCAGGGGAAACATCGACTGGTGCTCTTTACGTCTAATGTCGCTAGCGATGGTATTGCCCGCTACTACCAGGGCTCGCAAAGTCCTACTGCCGAGGGTGTTATGACTATCACTGCCTATATAACTCACGGGCTGACTTCGACCGGCGTGCTCGGGCTTGATACATCCTAAAAAACAATCTTTGAGGTCTATTCCTATCTGCAAACCGCTGGAGACGCGAGGCGGCTACCCTGTTTGTGCAGCTGATGGTAGATGCCATCACCGCCCTTAGGACTGGCCTAGAGCTCCAGGAATACACAAATACCTCCGCAATCCTGAGCTCTCTCACGGCAGAGATCCACTATGCCGGTACAACGAGGATGGGCCTTGACAACAGTCGCTACCCCAATGGCACCGCGGTGGTGGACATGAACACGAAGGTGTACAGAATGGACAATCTGGTATGTGACTTGTGGAATTTCCCAACTCTAACCTACCACCCAGTCCCTACTCCCCACCGGAGACATACATTAACCTTTCTTCGCTTGGGGTTTTTAGTACATCGTTCATAGTGGCTTTCACCCGGATCTGGCCTCAGTCAACAACCAGGCATATATCATGGTCGGGGCTGAAAATGCCGTGCAACGGATTCTGTCTCATCCGGATGACGAGTAGTGCGGGGTAGGAATAGGTCTGATATTGGGGTCTTTCAGTTTCTCGCCTTGGTGAGATCTTGCGAGTGCCGATCCATCCATGCCCCTCGCCGCACGAAACTAGGGTCGTCAATACCGACCTTTTCCGGCATTCTGTGTTTTCTCTACTGTTATTTGTTCCTAGTCCCACAACCGGCCATGGTTGTCACCTTTGTAGCTAGATACCGACGGATAGTGGCATTGTAGATTTCGATCTGCTGAAGTTGCTACCCCTCGGACAACCAAGCGTGCACTCGCAGACCACGATTGTGAAGCTGTACTTGTTATTTTCAATACGTAGAAGCGCGTGCTTAGTTTTCGATTGCTTCCAGGTTGTGCAATAGAAGTCGATCGTCGGATGGGTGGGTGATGGGCAAATGTACAAAGCAATTCCTTTCAACTCGGTAGTCTTTTTCCGCTCGGGCCGTGCACGAACCGACCGGACAACGGGGGCAAACCTACCGCGTCGGCGAAAGTCCTCTAATAATCTATGGCTCTGCGAGTTCTGAATCTGCAATTGGACCCAATGCGTTTTGGAAGTGATTGAAACGAAAAAAAAGGCCGAGAGGCATAAAGAAAACATACAACAGAAGGGATTCGCTGGTGGTCACCCACCCAACTACTAACCTCCCGGCGTGTGGCTTAAGTACGGCTGAGCGGACGGGAAGCCCTGTTTTCCACACCCTGTGGTCGTATGTACTGACCATTTAGTCTCTGACGTTTATAACCCATGACAAGGCAGGCCCGGCATGAGATCAGTGCAACCAAAACGAGACATACTTATTCGCCTATAATCTACCAACGATTTTACCCACTCCAGATCCTGCTCATTCTTATAAGTCTCGCGCAGCATCAATGGATGCGTGGGCTGGGAAACAACCGGTATCTCGCGGTGGTTAAGTCCAGGCTTTGGTCTGGAGTGTCCTACCCCCAAAGTGTCATTCGAACCCCTGAGTGCGGTGGTTTCGGTAGCCTCGGCTTGCTTTATTTAGCGTCATGTCCATGTTTAATCTATGTAACGAACTATTGACCCGTAGCCCGGGCCTTTCAAGCGGTCCGGCTCTTCAGTTAGATTCTGCAAAGAAGGCCATGTGCTAAAATAAGCATCGCTGAGTGCTCCAGACACCTTGACGTCTATGTCCGAGAACTGCAACAAGATCAGGATCAGGGTCACCAAACCGGTAATTTTTCACCCTGGGCCAACGGCCGAACTCCACTTCCTTCACCACTGTCTGCGCTAGCAGTGCTTTTCCGAGTCTAAAGACCGCATAAGAGGTTATGATTGGATCTAAGGCCAAACGCACAGGCGACGGGCCGGCGGGGACAAGAGTGGGTGAGGATATCAACTTGAAACACGACGGTTACTAAAATGATTCAGGAGCAAGTCCCGACCTCCCAGACCACGGGAATTAATTTACGACAGACGTCGTTGTCTCACCTTTTCGATCCTTGATCAGATTGACTGTACACTTGCTAGGAGTACTTATAGAGCGGGCACGGCGATCCATTTCCGGTGTCTCAAGCTGCGCTTCTCTGCCACTCACTACTTGCACCACCACCATCCACTACATTCCTTACAACAACCCCAACTCCACCACCACAATGGTCGCTCTTTCCAACATTCTCCTCGCTCTTTCGGCCGCTTCGGGCGCCCTGGCGGCCCCGAACCGCCTCGCGCTCATGGAAATGGCCAAGCGCAGCCTGACCACCTCCAGCGAAGGCACCTCGAATGGGTACTTCTACTCCTTCTGGACGAACAACGAAGGCTCCGTCACCTACACCAACGGCAATGCCGGTGAATACTCCGTGGAATGGAGCGATGCTGGCAACTTTGTCGCCGGTAAGGGCTGGAGCACTGGCAGTGATCGGTAGGTTTCCTTCAATCCCCCTTTGCCTTTCCGCATGGCTCGGTCTAACCCTCCAACCAGCGACATCACTTACACCGGTACCTGGACCCCCACCAACAACGGCAACAGCTACCTGTCAGTCTACGGCTGGACCACCAGCCCCTTGGTCGAGTACTACATCGTCGAGCACTACGGCGACTACAACCCTTCCAGCGGATTGACCCAGCTGGGCACCGTGACCAGCGACGGCAGCACGTACAAGATCTACGAGTCGACCCGCACCAACGCCGCCTCCATCGAGGGCACCAGCACCTTCAAGCAGTACTGGTCCATCCGCGACGACGCCCGCGTCGGCGGCACCGTCACCACCAAGAACCACTTCGACGCCTGGGAGAACCTCGGCCTCGAGCTCGGCACCTTCAACTACCAGATCGTCGCCGTCGAGGGCTACGAGAGCAGCGGCTCCGCCGCCATCACCGTCGACAGCGCCACCCACACCACCCTCACCACTCAGTCGACCGTTGCCACCGCCGCTACTGAGGAGGATGAGGAGGACTGCTAGACGCAGGCTTTCTGGATGCTGAATGCAGGTCGCTGTATATAGTGTCCCTGGAATGGGAGATTAGATGTCAATAGTCCTACATCCTTCAAATTCGATGGACTCAAGTCTTCCATGCGGTCGGGTCCAAAAGAACCTCTCTTTTTTCCGTATCCTCTTCCTACGTTAGTTGACTGCATGGGCTCGTTATATCTCGCAATGATAATCCATAAGTTCAATCATGAACGTTACTAAACCGAGATTATAGGAATCTTATGATAAATTCCTTGTCCTCTTTTCTATTCTTCGATCCGATCACAAGCATTCATTTTCAGAAGCCATAAGGTAGAATGGAAGCATGTGACAGTACAACCCAGCGCAGGCCACCCACGAAAACTGACGACGCTGAGCTGGTAAGCTCCATCTCCGGTCGTTTCTTCTGTCTCACATGTGCAAATACCCCGCAAGCGAATGTCTTGGCTGTAATACAGACGTCTGGGTCGATGTAGATGCGTACATGATCATTGGACACCCGAATTGGGATGGTAATACTATTCCATATGATAGGCAATTTGCAGAGCTCTCCGCACCGCTTATAAGACCCGCTATCCTATCCACTCAACTTTCTGCCACCCGTGAACGGTTCGGGCTAAGCATCCTTTTCGGACGGTCATCTGTGATGAGAGCAAGGATTCGTCAACAGCGGACGACATACCTACTGAGTCGAGACGCTTTCGGTTTGTCCAGTGCCCCGTCGAAAACAGAGTCTACGGTGGCTTGTGTGTTCTCGGTTCGGCCTTACTCGGAATCAATCTGCGCTGCTTCGAAGGCGATATCGCCAAGCAACAATCGTTCGCATGAGTATTAATGCAAGGTAAGTCTATTTTGCAACATAGGTGTGGTCCTCTTCGCATCACCGGGATGATCGGTATCACTCGTACTCTATGTGGTGGTCAAGTCAAATTGTTCGTGGGTTGCCGGCCAAATGAGGAAGCCGCGCAAACCCGCCGGAGTATAAACCCCCCCTCGCCCCCGGCTCACGAGCAGGTTCTTTTTTTTTTCCTTCCCCTGCTCCGGCGCCGCGTGGGATACTGTGCACTGCGCCCGTATGGATCACTCACAGAAATCTCGTTGTAGCAAGGCCTCGTTTCCTCTGGCACGACGCTGTCCCTGCTAAGGTCTTTCGCCTTCCCAGCCTGTGATTGCGTAGCCCGTGATATCCGAGGATGAGCGAAGAAATCGTGCTCTTCATTCTGTTGCTGGGTGCGATGGTCGGCTATGTTCTACTGTATGCAGATAGCAGCGATGAAGACCCTGGTGACAAGGTCTGGCTTAAATCGATCGAAGTGGAGAACCCGATCGTCATATTACAGAACTCCACCGTCGCGATGCGAGCAGCCAGAGCAGGTGCACCAGTCTTGAAGACTTTATGGCGGCTCAACAACCCTTTCGTGTCAGACTCGGTAGACCTACAGCTTTCGTACCGTCATGCCTTGTACAAGGCACTTGCTAAAGTAGATGACAGTGCATGGGTAGGCATCGCTCGAGTAGTGGGCAAGGCCATCCAGCCTCTGTTCACCAGACGCACAATACCGGGTGGCTGCACCGTCACCGCCGACCTACGACAGGTCAGCCTCACCACCTCTCTTGCCGCCGTTCTTAAAGCTCTCTTCGAGATCGAAAACATCGGTGCCGACAAACTCAGCTACCTCGGCTCGGACATTCATCGCATCAGCGTGAAGGGCAAACGGCACGCTCAGGTGACAGCTGCCGCCTCCCAGGACATTCCCGAGGATCTGCGGGGCTCGGCGGACGCCTTGATCCAAGCCCTGCGCCACGTCTTCATTGACGCTGCAGTGTCGACGGAGCTGGCGGAGACGATCCTCTACCGCGTCTCAGGCTCCCCGCCCCCGGAAGAGTTCAACCCGCTGAATCTGCTCCTCCCCGCCTTCGAAGCCCCGTGGCGCTCGACCCTGTACACTCTCCTCGCAGTTCTCCAGCCCGGCGCCCGCCAACCGAAATACGTCCTGGCTCTTAGAGACTGCCGACCGGACCACAACCCGGACCCTCTTGCGCTAGCGATCGCATATGAATCCCTCCGCCTCTATCCACCCATCCGCTGCATCAGCCGGGTACCCACATCCGTTGACATCGAAGCCATCCAGCGGGACCCTTCCCACTGGGGCCCGACCGCGCAACAATTCCATCCGGAGCGATTCCTTACGCCTGGTGGACGGCGAATTCGCTCGTCCTTGGTCGGACCGCAGCAATTCGCTTGGATCTCGTTCGCCGCGGGGAAGATGAAATGCCCTTCCGCCCGGGTCTTTTCGATACGCATGATCGTTGTGGTCGTGGGCGAGATCCTGCGGCAGTTGTTCCCGGGTGATGCCACTCCGGAGTGGGAATTCGAGGGCGCTGAGTGGGATGCGGCTGCTAGGAGGGGGAAGGCGCTACGGGCGGGAAGGGAGGAGTATGAAGGAGTTAGGATTGTCTCTGTCTGTAGATAACGCACGGTGATCAACTTAGATTTACTGGGTGGGGGTTAGTAGGCAATTCTGGTGGGTATCCGTTGCGATCCTGATTCTTGATGTTATACTGTGTGCGACGCTCGAATAATATATTACAGAAGACGCGCGGACGATCGTCTGAACAATGGACCTACATCTTGGTATTCTTCAACACCCTACGCCTTGAAACACTTACAACCCCCCGATGCACATTATGATTCTAACAGTAAAAGGCCTGCTTTGCTCTCCTGGCTTGAGCTAGCAGCTGTCTTCCGACCAAGGAATGATTAGTACGGAGATTTCTAATTTGCCGAGTGGCTGCAATGGTCTTCCATAGATTACCAGTCGGCTCAATGTATCCCAGCTGGCTAGCTCCCGCTCCCGCCAGGTGTATAGAATAATCAAGTCGATTAGTCTACGACTGGGTTGCATCTTCTCCACTAGCGCCCGGTCCTCTACAGTCAAAGTGGTCTCTAATTGCGATTTCTTTGGTCCGGGGCTCGTGTTGTGCGGGTGTGGCTTGAGTCTATGTTACTGCGGATATTCTAAACAAGCTCGCATCTACTACCCCCCTTGATCACTAATCGATATGCAACTAATAATCATGTCTATTTAATATTATTCAAGACTGGATGAGATCAAACAGGAACATGATTTCCGGACTCCAGGTATGCAGCTAGATAATGTGTCTGTATAGAGGGTTTTTTACTATTATCAACTGTTATCTCTCACACGATGAACGTGGTCCTCTTGTTCCTAGCGCCATTTGTCCGCCACAGTCATTTATTCTTACTTTGTCGCATAGCGCCTCGTCGCCTGATCCATACCCCCCTAGAAGCTTGCTGCAGCCAAGACTAGAGCTTTATGATTAGTAGTTGTGGGGTTCGCCCTCCGAAGGGCGCCGTGAATCGGGAATGCTTCCAAGCTGGACTCCTCATCACGCTTCTGTATGACGATATAAAGCAGCCTACAGATGGAATCTTTTCGTGGCCGATTCTTGTTGTGGGCTGGAGAAAAGTCTAGCTCGATTTCGCGCACAACTATGTCCATCAAAGTACTGATCCTCGACTTCGCCGGAGTTCTATGCTCGTGGACTCCGCCAGCCCAAAGCCCCCTCTCCCCAGCGCAGCTCAGACAAATCATGTCCTCCGAGATATGGTTCGAATACGAGCGCGGGAGATATTCCGAAGAAGAATGTTATGCGAAGCTTGTCGAACGGTTTTCCATCAGCGCTGCGGACATGGCCTCCACTATGGAGCAGGCCCGTCAGAGCCTGGAACTGAACCACGCCGTCCTTCAGCTTGTCAGCGAGATAAGGAAGCGCAACCCCGGGCTCAAAGTGTATGGCATGACGAACACGCCCCATGCGGAACAGGATTGTGTCAATCGCATCGTGGACAGCTATCCTGTTTTCGACCACGTTTATCTCTCCGGGGTCGTTGGGATGCGCAAACCAGATCTTGGATTCTATCGGTTTGTTCTCGCAGAGACCGGGCTAAGGCCTGACGAGGTCGTGTTCGTGGACGACAAAGCGGAGAATGTGTTGGTCGCGCAGTCCGTGGGGATGCACGGCGTGGTGTTCCAGAACGTCACCGATTTCAAGCAGCGGATCATAAACCTGATGGAAGACCCTGTCTCTCGGGGCTTGACGTATCTCCGCTCGAATGCAAAGAGCCTCCTCACTGTGACTAACAATAACTCAGTGATCCACGAAAACTTTGCGCAGTTGCTGATTCTGGAGCTGACGGGCGACCGGTGAGCTTCTCCATCGGGGTTTGTATATGGCATGTGGAGTCTTTAACAAACGTGGGATTAGAGACTTGATTGAGCTCGAACCTTGGGATCGAACATGGAACTATTTCATCGGTTGGTCAAATTCTCCCCGAGCAAGGCGTTGCAGCTATTGATACGGTGGGACTGTCAACAGGGGTTCCCCAGTCGCCGACGAGTACCTTCCCCAACGACCTGGACACCACCTCTATCGCGCTCTCTGTCCTTCCCATTCATAAGGACGTCGTTGCCGATGTGATGGATGAGATTGTGCTTCTCCTGGACAGCGACGGGATAGTCCCGGTATGATCATGGTTGATTTATCTTCATGTTCCTCACTAACAACACCTCGAAAGACATATTTTGATCCCACTCGACTGCGAGTCGACCCAGTCGTCTGCGTGAACGTACTCAGCCTGTTCGCCCAGAACGGTCGGGAATCCGAGTTACTCGCCACCTTCAACTGGGTGCTGGACGTGCTGCGACATAGAGCCTACCTGCAGGGCACGAGATACTACATCAGTCCGGACGCCTTCTTGTACTTTCTAGCCAGACTCTCAGTCTTTCTGAGGGACAGTCCATTCCGCGCTCGGCTGATGCCTCTCCTGAGAGAAAGAGTATATGAGCGAGTTGGTGCCGTTGGCGACGCTATTTCTCTGGCCATGCGAGTCTATGCGTGTAAGCTGCTTGGGATGTCGAATATGCTCGATGAGAGAGCATTGCGGGACATGCAGTGTGAGGATGGCGGCTTCCCTACAAGCTGGGTCTATAGATTTGGATCGACCGGGGTGAAAATCGGGAACAGGGGATTGACTACTGCACTCGCAATGAAGGCTATCGAGATGTCTGTCACTCCTGGGGATGTCGAAGGTGATAAGAAAGGCCAGCCGCAATGGTGGTTCTGGGCTGGAGTGGAGTTGTTGAACCCTTACAAGTTTTGGAAATCATAGAAATTGACTACTGACATTTGATAAAAGACTCTGAACTTCCGTTTTATTATCAATCATCTTTGCCTGCAAGGCACGATATATCATAATGTTCACCAATGTGATCATCCGGTCCACTCAAATTCGATCAAAGCCATTTCCGCACCGTCCAGGTGCCGACAACCGAGCAATTGAAATCTCGGGTCCGCTTGCTCAAAGAGCCGGGTCCAGTCTTCTATATCTCGCTCATAGGCGTTGAACAGGCCTATCATGCCCAAGCCCATCGTCCTGTCACAGCCCATCAGCTTAAAATCCCATGGCGGTATTCAGGGCAACATACCGTGCCAACCTTTCTCTGCACACAGGAACCTCTCCGGGCTCAGGCATGCAGATCTCATTGACAATGACCCGTGCCCCCGGTCGCAGCGCAGGGATCAGTGCACGGAGAATTTTGATACAGTACTTGTCCGACCAGTTGTGCAGGACCCATCGCAGGAAGTATGCAGAAGCAAGAACTGACTGCGCTTCGAAAAAGTCGTGAGCCATAAAGCTCACGCGGTCGGCGACTTGGGGTGGCAAGTCTACCTCGGCTCCAGCTATGGTGCTTTCGAGGTCCTGCACCACGAACCTCAACGCTGAAAACCTCGAGGCCACTGCCACCGCAACCTGTCCTCGTGAGCCGCCAATATCCACAACCGTGCCCGACCCTAGACGACTCCAGTCATATGAATCAACTACTTTCGAGACCGAATAACTCTCGCTTGAAGCCCACACGTTCATTGCATTAGCCATCCGGGCACCGCGCGCAGGATCTGCGTCTAGGACTTCATAAATCGCTCGATCCGTGTTCTCCGCGAGGGAAAAACCCTAGCATATGATGAATCCGTCATTAGCGACATGTCTTTGGACAATTGCGATAGAGGGTACAAGCAAGTGGAGCTTACCGTCTGGTTGGGCTCATCCGATCGTGGCCATTTCTGCATCGCATAGGGCGCCTGGAATGAACGACAGTCAGTGCTAATTCTCACATCGTGATAGCCGTGACTCTTACACAAAGAATAGCCCCTGTCAGTTCGTCGATAGAGAACGCCATCCAGCGTGCTATATCGCCATCTCTCATCACTACCGACCGAGGGGTGTGGGCCACAAATCCCCGTCGGGATTCGCGGAACACCCGCAAGGTCATTGCATGGCGAAGCACATGTTTGACCAACCCCTCTTGAAGGCCAGTCTGCTCTGCGATCGAGCAAAAGCTCATCTCCATGTCCGGCTTGATTAGATTCGCGATGCTGAAGCGATGAATCATTATTATACTCATGAAGCCCACCGGCTACACCTTATTGTCAGCTATGGTTCGCGAGAATGGAACTGGAGGCGCTGGGACTTACTGCTCCCTCGAAGAAGGCGCTCACGGGGTCTGTGAGCAGGTATCGCAGCTCAGAGGCCGAATCTAGGATTGATTCCTTTGCCTGCTGCAGCTCGCGGGGAAGAGTGATTCCCCCGTTAGCCTCGAAGGACGGAGACGGCAGGTCCCGTTGCTTAAGATGCTCCTCGATTGTTCTGGTCGCGGTGCTGATGGAAGCTGCAAGCTCTCCTAGTTGAGGGGTGCTTGTCATGCCTTGACACACCGAGCGGACGGGGAGATCAGTGGCGGCCGTCCCTCCCTTGGTGAGAGTTGGCAGTTGAGCAGCTGGCCCCTCTTGCGTGATCATGGTGAATTCGCGTCCGGATTCTGAGTGAGATCTTAATTGCTGAGAAATCTCTGGCATGGAGACTTGAGAACTGGGTCCCCTTTTCTGGACCAGAAGATGTCTTAATAGCGGGACGGGATGGAGTTTCGTTCGGAGAGGCTATTTGATTCATAAAATTTGCTTATCATGTTGGTAATCGTTGACGCGTGCAGTCCGAGAATGACAGCAGCAGTATGTGTGTATACTGCCGGTTTTAGGAGGTCATCCTTGCTGTGGTAGTCGATTCTCGATCGTGAAGGACCCAGTGGCTGGCTGGATTGCGCCAGAATCCAGTTTGCTGCTTCACTCATTCGCATGAATTCATATGATCCGGATCACATGCCGATTCACAGAGCAGACGCGTACGATGGTTTCCCAGCCACCTTGAGTCAATATTCTGTCATAATTCTAGAAGAAGTCAGAGTCTAGGCCTGGTTCAACCCGAGAAGGTTTTTGAAGTAGCTTCTGGTGGAACCAAGGTATAGAGAACCACTGTACAGAGCAACAACGAGCGTGATTGACACGTAAGTGGCTTCTTAAAGGTTGAAAAATTGTTTTGTTGATGAGACAGATGGAGATGGTAAATGATGATGACTTTGGAAAATTGTAGTCGGAGTGTGCCCCGAGGGAAATGGATGACATTGACATCAATGAGTTGAGTTTGGGTGCTTTCATGGTCTCCGACTTTCTTCTTTAGCTTTCGCAATCAGGTGTCACTTTACGGCGTTGTTACAAATTCACATGGGTGGATCGGTTAATTCGGAACTCTCCTAGCTCACATGGTTCCAGGCCAATATACTTTGGTTCTTTTACAGAACACGGATCTCTTGTCTGTATTGCCTTTAAATCCATGCCAAAACAGGAGCCTACCCTGTCTTTTTTACCACGGTGGTCCTATCACCCACCATCTCAACATACTTCCGTACATCGAACATCTAATAGATCCCCTCACTGCACACAGTATTCCCTCAATCAACACAAGATGGATGAAGCTCTCGATCATGTCAAGGATCTTGCCAAGTGTCTTGATGAAGACAATCGCAGCCGGCTGGTGAATGAGCTGCGGGATCTCATAATTTCCCTCGAGCCTGACGAAGATGCGGTGCAGCGCATCACCTTTGCTGTATGTCTATTCACGCCCTGGTGAAGCGATGCTAACGACGCGATAGCCCCTCGAGCTATATGCTGCGCGAATTGGTGTCAGGCTGTGTCTCTTTCATCTGCTCGCCTCCAGTGATTCGGGCATTCATCTGGATCGGCTGGCCAAAGAGACTTCTGCTGATGAGATATTGCTTGGTACAGAAACCTCCATTGATCGTATGAGGAAGCTAATGTATAAAAGGGCGGATTATGCGCTATCTCGCGAGCGTCCGAATGATCACAGAGCTCGGACCCGACGTCTTTGCAGCGAATAAAATGACCCTGGCCTTGGCTACTCCCAAGGGCGAAAGCTATATTAACGCCTAGTAAGGCTGCCACCTTCTCTCGACCGAGCGCCAGCGCCGGTGAATAAGCACTTCGCTAATATGGCAGCTATGTTCAAGTTACGAGCTAATTCTTCCGGTGATGGCCAAAATGCCCCCATTCCTCGAGCGAACCGGCTATAGCAACCCCACGGACTCTCTCAACCTGCCATTGCATGACGCATTCGGGTGCAAAGGCGATCTGTTCGCGTTCCTGAAAGCCCACCCGGAGAAATGCGCCATGTTCCACAACCACATGCATTTCCAAAGGAATCAGACCACCAACTGGGCCAAACTTGCCACCGTTCTTCGCAGTAAGAAAACGGCAACAGACGAGGTCTTGTTTGTGGACGTGGGCGGGGGCACCGGCCATCAATGCCAGCGGGTTCTCCAGTATGATCCTGACATTCCCGGTCGGTTCATCCTTCAAGACTTGCCTCAGGTGATGGAGGCTGCCCCCACCATTCCAGGGGTTGAGAAGATGCATTACGATATATTCGAGGAACAGCCTATCATAGGTGAGGTCCGGCGCCGATCAGTGCCGCGTTCACCCCTGCTGATGAGCGATAGGTGCCAAGTTTTACTACTTCCGCGGAGTTCTCCACGATTTCCCTGACAGCAGCTGCCGATCAATTCTACGGAATACAGCAAAGGCGATGCGCAGCGATTCAACCCTTCTTCTTGATGAAATGGTTCTCCCCAACAGTGGGGTTGACTGGACGGCTACGGCGATGGATCTGCAGATGATGGCGAACCTCGGGGCGCAGGAACGGACTCGCGGAGCTTGGACAAAACTACTGGAGTCGGCGGGTCTGAAGCTGGTGGACATTCAGTATCACGGTTTGGACCCGTACCAGGCCCTGATCTTTGCGGTCAAGCAGGGTGGGGAGAGAATGTAGTAGTGTTTAAATTGTTGGCCGATTTTGTTGCAGGATTGTATGCTCGAATTATAGGTTCAGATTGGCTCAATTCACCGTATTCTTGTGTTAGCACCAATCGTTGTCGTAGTCGGCCAATTTTCCAAATCACAATAATGCTGTTTAGCTGTTGGCCAGGATTTAAAGCACTAGAGCGAACAAAGTCATCTGCCAGGACTTGCACATTTCCTTCTAAGGCGGCAACCACAACCTGCCAGATGCCGAGTCTCCCTTTCCTCCGTCTCTTCCATCCTCCCTCTTGCTTCCAGTGTCCTCGAGTGTTAAAGTCAACGACATTCGCTGCACAACCTTGATGTTTTTTTCAGCGCGACATCGGTTTTACTCTTCATTCTCGAAGCTTATTCTCTTTGTCTATCTCATTTGCTCCTCCCCGAAATGTTTATTCCCCGGTAAGATAAGTCACAGCTACCTCTTGACACCATCGGTACAACTAACACTCATCATCGCCCACAACGAGCTAGTTCCTTCCCCCCTCCTCTTCCTTCACGAGCTCAAATAGACTTTGTGATAGTCCTCCTCGTTCAAGTTCTACGTTCTACAGCCTCTTCATCTCGAAGTCAAACGGGACGCTTACGTCGGAGGTACCACCCATGTCAGCTTTACAGTCGCGGTTCCAGTTCTATGATGACATCCATTTCCCACATTGCAAAGCTCCACGGGTCTCCTCGTGCATTCCCAAGCCGGAAATGTCCGAAGCTAAGATACTCGGTGATTGTCAGCACTGGCTTTGAGACTGCAATTCTAGACTCTTCTCGGCCGAAACTATCTCGCGCCGAAAGTGATGATGGTGTTGACATCTCGCCCGGCCTGATGAGATTTAATCAAGTCAGCCACTTCGCTCATATCCATGTGGTCTCACAAGTCAATGGTACGGCGCGGTCATTTCCTTGGACATCGAGATCCGGAAAGCAGAGTAAGATTCGCAAGCTTTGACTTACTCCGATGTGACCTAACGGACCTCTGATTGTAAAGCCGGTTGTTAAGCCGGTCGGGATTCGAGAGGCAATGATCCCCGGATTGAAAACTGCGAAAAGATATAAGGGGGTGCCGTTATATGCGTGGAGAGTCGGCACTTCCCTGACAATCATTTTAGATTTGTGTCTTTGCGCTATCAAGACACTGTGCTCTGTTTCTTGGTCAGGACCTGCCCGGATTTCAACAATATGGCGTTCAGAAATCTCGTTCAATTGCTCGACACTGTGGCTAGTGAGAGGGAGAGTGGTCAGATTATTTGTTACCCCTCGGGCTCAACCAAGTGCCGCAGCACCTACACCTATCACGAGCTCCTGCATGAGGCACGTCAGGCTAGCCAGGCACTTCGCCGGAGGGGTACCAGAGACCTCTCTGTCCAGTCTCCAGTTCTCCTGCACTTCACTGTCCATTGGGACAACATTGTCTGGTTCTGGGCGGTGATGTTGGCAGGACGTATCCCGGTCATGTCCACAGCACTTCCAAACAGCCCCTTCCTCCGCACAGCTCATCTAAAGCATCTATCAGTCATGCTGAAGCATCCGTTATGCTTGACTCGAGAGAGCCAGATGCCTGAATTCCGTGATCAAGAGGCGATACAACCCGTGGCCGTTGAGTCTTTGAATCTATCGGGATCGCCTTTCGTTAAAGACATGGCTATCGATCCTGGGCCAGAAGATACTGCCGTCATGCTACTCACCTCCGGTAGCACTGGGAACTGCAAAGCAGTTTGCCTTAGCCACGGTCAAATCCTGGCAGCAAACGTCGGCAAGCTTTCTGTCATCCCGCTTGCCGGGGAAAGCTTAATGAACTGGGTACACCTCGACCACGTCGCAGGCTTGGTTGAGATCCATCTGCAAGCAATGCTCGCTCGCATGGATCAGGTACATGTTCCCGGCTCGGATCTCTTGTCCAGTCCGACCACATTCCTCGACTTGATTGACACACACCGTGTCTGCCGCACATTCGCGCCCAACTTCTTTCTAGCTAAACTCCGAGTTGCCCTTGAGAACCTACACGACCCGCCCCAGTGGGATCTCAGCTGCCTGCAATACATTGCGTCCGGAGGTGAAGCCAATGTGACCAGAACTTGCGTCGATATCTCGAAGCTGCTGTCCCGATACGGCACACCCTCGAATGTCATCGTGCCGGGATTCGGGATGACTGAGACTTGTGCTGGCTCCATTTTCAATACACGGTGTCCTGAGTATGACCAGGACCAGAAGCTAGAATTTGCGGCAGTTGGCCGATGTATGCCGGGAATTCAGGTTCGGATCACAGATGGCTCGCCCGCCAACACCTGCGTCCCGCCCGGGGAGATTGGCAACCTCGAAGTCACTGGCCCGGTGGTATTCAAGTCCTACTTCAACAATGCGATAACCACGGCGGACTCTTTCACAAGCGATGGATGGTTCAAAACGGGCGACCATGCCTTGCTTGACTGCAATGGCTATGTTGTCATGGCCGGTCGGGCTAAGGACACAATAATCGTCAACGGGCTGAAGTATAACCCTCT